TAATAATCTAAGAAAAATTTTAGTGAGTTCGGCCGTTTTCCTCTAATCGTAATTTCTCTCAGCCGGATAATAGCGGTTGACAATGCTGCCGTGTTAAGGAAGAACGCCGTATGAACATTTGAGAGTTGCCAAATTTCCCCGGATAAAACAGGTATTCATGACAACATTTAAGCATGTTCTTCCTGGAAATTTCCAGATATTTTAGATTAAATTACGTACAAAATAGTCTGAAAATTTTGATAAAAAAATATTCGCAACTTCCCCAATAAATTCGTATTATTTATTTTGGCAACGCCTGAGGGTTCATAGGGCGTTTTTCCTTAGCACGGCAGAATGGGATAGAAGGTCAACTTTAATGAAAATTTAAATGCTTCCTGGTGAAAAACTCGGATTATTTTACAGATCGGCAACACCGCGCGCCGGGGAGGGGGGAAGACGAACGAGTGACAGGCCGAAGCACGGACGCTTTGTTCCATGCGCTGAACTTTCCAAGCTGAAACTTTTTCAACTCTGAACTCGTCGAAAGAGAGCTTCAGCTTTGGAGAGCTGCAAGTCGTTGGCTTCGTAGGGGTTGAAACGGAGGCGCTCCTTGAATATACTGAGCCAACTGAAGAGCCAAGGATACGAAATAAAGGGAAGCATTAATTAGTAATTACTCTTTAAAAAGAGACACGGAGTTTCAGAGGTGTCGGGATACATCGAAGTAGACTTGCCGGAATAAGAGGGAACAAGGACCCCAATAGCCCTCCGATTGTTGAAATTGATAGACAAAGCTGTAGACAGAGAAGACATTGCGAGTATGGAGCAATCCTGTTGGTTGAAATGGGTGGTTCTCATAGACTAGTGCACTGAAAAAAAAGTTCGGTACATCCGAACTACTTAGGATCATATGGAACCAGGTTTTGTTCGGTACACACAACCGAATTTTTCGATCTGTTCAACCGAATTGTTCGGTTTGTGCGACCGAACCATAGTGAATTCTTACAGTTCGTTTCAGTGGACCGAACAGTTTGGCTGAGCAGACCGAATAATTCGGTCGTGTGTTTCGAGCAAAATCGTGTGTTCCATATATGATCCTAACTAGTTCGGGTTTACCGAACTTTTTTTTCAGTGATGGGGTAAATGATACAGACTAACCATAAGGTCTATTGAAGAAGACATAGAAAGCATGGAACGATCCTGTTGGTTAAAATGGTCGCTTCGTATGGGCTACATATATAAACATATAAGATTTATAAGGATAGGTTCGCTAATCGAACTGCGGCACTGAAAACTGGAATTCGAAAAATTTCAGAAATTTGAATTTCTCTCTCAGAAATGAAAAAAATTCCGGGCCTCCTTGCGGAATATCTGCACTTTTTCAGTGTTTCCGGATCGTCCTATAAAAATCAGAACTATTTCTGGACTTATAGACACCCTGTTAAATTCGCACCTTTTCTACAGGACCATTTCAAGCGGAAAAATTCACGATTTTCCTCTCGAATAATTATTCAATCACGAGAAGCGTGGCAACATTGGAAGGCTCATACGTGATTTTCCATTAACGTCGTCGACGGCGAAAGTGACGTGCGGAAGAAGGGAATCTCGTTCGGTGGGCTCACGCAGGAATCCAGGTTACGGAGAGGGTGGGAGGGGGGAGGCCTGGATCATCTCGGACTCGCCCCCAAGACACAAAACATAAATCAATCAATCAATTTCCACGGAATCGAAGGGGGGGCGGGGGTGGGGGAGCCCCGTGTGTCGACATCGCCTCTGCTAACTGGAGCGTGAACCGAAACCTCTTCGGCGAAAATAGGAGCCTAGACCACTATCGTCTTCTTACGGCCGGTGTTGCCGGACTTCCGAAAGCTCGCAATGGAGATGTTGCATGTGTGAGGAATTTGCGATTTGACTGCTATTCCCTCTGTAAAAGTTCGCGAGAAACACGATGGTGCCACTGGTTTTCTCTGAAATTATCTCCCAAGCTCAAAAAAGCTCTCAAGTTGAGGCCGAAATGGAGGGGATATCCCACGCTATCCGGAGAGTCAACCTCTACAACAAGACAAACTCTCCATGCAAAGATAGGGAGCAAATACATTGACAGGGTTTTAGAGTCTCCAAAAAAAGTGGCAGCCCTGTCAATGTATTTGCATGGGGAGTTTGTTTTGGTGTAGATGTGAACTCTCGGGGTAGCGTGGGATATCCCCTCCGTTTTGACCTCAACTTGAGAGTAGTAACTTCTAATTAAGATATGGACGTTTTGAGCTTTCACCACCCTCTGCATAAAGGACGCTCTTTCCGGAGATTTTTTCGGCTCGGAACTTTTAACAGGCTAAAATGGTAAGACCTCGCAAAGTGGAGTCTGATTTTCTATCAATGTTTTCGTTGCGCAAATATTTGTTGCAAATTACTTTAAATACGACTATATGAAACCTGCTATTTTCGCCATATGCTATTTGGTCGGAGAGGTCTCCATACGCTGTTTCTAAATTGAGTCAGAAATTGTTGTTCCTAGCTGCCTAAGGAGTCCAATGCCAAGCCTCTTGTTCTCGTTTCAACCTTGATTTTCTGTTGAAATCGGTCCATTTAATAGTTTTTCATTGCAAAATGGACGAATTTAAAGCAAAATGAACTGTATTCAATGTGGCAAGAGCCGTGTAACGCATGGTTCCTTATGGATCTCAAAGACCATGTCAGAAAGGATATAGTTCTTTTTGATTTAAATGCGTTCAAATATAGTTTCAATCGTTCATGATCGTCGTGAGATCGTTCCCTCATAGCACGATAAGTATAATCTAAATAAGTATCAGTATAAAGGAGCTTATAGGTATATGTATAATATGCATAATATGATGAGTATAAGGTGATAGTTTCTACAATGAAAACCCCGATAGGAGAGATCATTGCAAGTTAAATCTCTTAAAATTACTGTCGTAAGCGCTGTTTAAACATCTTCAACATCAAAAGCTGAAATTGACAGCACCTCTATTAATATCTATCACGATATAAAATGACGGGAACGGATTATTTTTATGGGGCAAACTTCCTGAATGAGGACTCTCAGTATGAAAAAAGTTAAATAAAATGTCAATTTACTGTTGGTTATGGCCGTCTCTGGAATTTTCTGACGTTGTGGTCAATATGTCAGCAGCCCTAAATATATTGTAGGGATAAGCGCAATGAGTTTGAATGCAGATAATTCACCCATGAAAAACTTCCTCGGTGAATTTTTTTATCGAAAGCAAGTATGATAAGTGCTCAATGCACAGCTGGTGTTTTCTGGGCATCAAATGAAAGATAAAAATCCAGTGCGTCCGATTGGGTTGACTCGCATGGGTGCTTCGACCTCAATTAACTCTCTAAAAATGGTTTTCCGGGCATGAAATGAACTACATTTTGCGATTGGGAACCGCAATTTCTGGCTCGGATTAAAAACGACGTACGTGCAATTAGTTTCCCTATAAGCATACGTGTTTTTACGGATGGGCCAGAAATTTTAGTTCCTAATTGCAGGATGTAGTCCGAAAGAAAGTTGAACACCTAGTCGACGATGATAGTTGGTTATGTTTTTTGAGAGGTTGAAATACGCGAATCAATACACGAGCGACTTACGGTGCCTCGCAGTGACTACATGCACAACTAGGTTAAATGTCGGACGACTGACCTCAGGAACTATAAAATGTTTACAATATTCAGCTTTTACAGGAAAAGTATCAACACCAATTTAATATTCTGGAGTATACTCCTTATAAACTGGAGGAGACTCACAGAGAGTAACTGCGTTATTAAGTTTCGTTTCTCTGGCAAAATATACAAAAACTTACAGGTTTGGGAACACGAAATGCAGTTAAGCTATCTCTTCTTGCAATTTAGGATAAACATTCGATAGAAATAAGCCATTTTGGTGGAGTCGAGTTGTGGAATCAATATCTGAGCTATCCAGGACACCTCACAACAACTACGAGCTCAACTAGGTAGAAAATCAAGGAAGATTCACCACGAGCACAATTTTGCGGTGACGATTTACTTTTTTTGCACGAAATCAAGCAAAATTCAGGCGTAAAATGTTGTGAATGCATACTTCTTCACAAAAGGGAAACTTATATCAATAGTTACAGGGCGTCATGCTGTTAAGTCCTCTAGGCAAATATATATAACTAAGAGGAAATTGGGTTATGCATGAAATGCAGTTAGGCGATTTCTATTCGAAATGAAGGATAAACATTCAATATAGATAAAGCCTTCTTGGTGGAGTCGAGTTGTGGAATCAATACCCAAGCTATACATCCAGGACACCTGACAACGTGTTAGTTTTAGCTGGGTTAAAATATATACGAACTTAGAGGAAATTGGGAAACATGAAATGCAGTTAGGCGATTTCTACTCGGAATGTAGGATAAACATTCAATATAGATAAGCCTTTTTGGTGGAGTCGAGTTGTGGAATCAATACGCGAGCTATCCAGGGCACCTCACAACAACTACGTGCTCAAATAGGTAGAAAGTCAAAATATTTATGGCAGTATGAAATGCAGTTAGGCGATTTCTACTCGGAATGTAGGATAAACATTCAATATAGATAAGCCTTTTTGGTGGAGTCGAGTTGTGGAATCAATAACCGAGCTATCCAGGGCACCTCCCAACAACTACCTGCTCAAGTAGGTAGAAAATCATAGAGGATTCACCGAGAGCATAATTTTGCAGTAACGAATTACATTTTTGCACGAAATCAAGCAAAATTCAGGCGTAAAATGTCGTGAATTCATACTTCTTCACAAAAGGGAAATATATATCCCTACTTATAGGGCGTCATGCTCTTAAGCCTTCTGGTAAAATATATGAAACTAAGAGGAAATTGGGCAATGTGAAATGTAGTTAAGTTGTTTCTCCTCCGAAAGTAGGATAAACATTGGATAGAGATAAGCCTTTTTGGTGGAGTCGAGTTGTGGAATCAATACCCGAGCTATCCAGGACACCAGACAACGACCAAGTTCAAACTAGGTTAAAAGCCGTTCGACTCACCTTAGGCACAATTCCCGTGGAGTTTTCCTGGACGACGAGAGAGGGAATTCTCAGCCGAGGGGTTTTACTTCATGATGGTCGACGTCGACGAAGGCGGGGACGTGAAAAACGCGATCCGAGCTGACGACACTGCCACTGAACCGTCGACGCGGGCCACTGATAATCAATGACTAGCGGCCCACGGGCGGAGCGGGGCGACGCGCGCGCGCCCCGACGACAGCGCCCCCGCGGCCGCCCCGCGAAGCTCCCGTTAAGGCGGGAAACGCCAGCTTTCCCGGACGCCCGAGCACGATCGCGGCTTCCGGGATGGGACGCGCGTCCAGAGCTTCCCGCTCCGCTTTCCGGGAATCCGAGGGAGTTGCCCGAGTTAACGCCGTGCTTGAGGCGATGGCAAAAAACGGGGATTGGGAGCTCAACTTTTGTAGTATTTCGGGGCCAAATTCGTCGCTTGACTGACATAGGGGCGTAACTACACATTGAGGTGAGCCCGGAAAAGCATTGAATTGGATGGAAGACAGGGTTCATTGCAGAGTGTAGTTACGTCCTTATGTCAGGTAGGCGACGAATTGACTACATTTTGTAATTTGGAAGTTTTATTTCTAGCTCACTCCAGAAACAACGTAAGTACCATTAGTTCCCATACACCGATAAAAGCTTTTACGAATTTGTCAAAAATTTTATTCGGGATTCTGCGGGAGTTGAGCGAGTTAGCGCGATACTTGAGGCACGGGGGAAAGAACGGAGATGGAAAGCTCAGCTTTGGTAGTATTTCGAGGCCAAATCGGCTACATTTTGCAATTTGGAAGTTTTACTTCTGGCTCGCTTCGGAAACAACGTATGCACCATTAGTTCCCATAGGCGGATAAGTGCTTTTACGAATTTGTCAAAAATTTTATTCGCGATTCTGAGGGAGTTGGGCAAGCTAGAGCGATACTTGAGGAAATAGCAAAAAACGGAGATGGGAAGTTGAACGTTGGTAGTATTATGGGGTCAAATCGACTACATTTTGTGATTAGGAACTTTTTATTTCCAGCTCACTTCAGAAACAACGTAAGTGTGATTTACATCGGAGATGGAAAGCTCACTTTGGTAGTATTTTGAGGCCAAATCGACTACATTTTGCAATTAGGAACTTTCATTTCCGGCTCACCTCAGGAACAACGTATGTGCAATTTAATACGGAGATGGACAGCTCAACTTTGGTAGTATTTCGGGGCCAAATCGACTACATTTTGCAATTAGGAACTTTCATTTCCAACTAACTTCAGAAACGACGTATATGCGAGTTATTCCCCTATGCGGATGAAAGCGTATACAAATAACGGCTACTTTTTGCAATTTGGAACTATTATTTCTAACTCACATCAGAAACAGCGTGTCTTGTGTAACACTAGTTCCCCCATGCGGATAAGTGGTTTTACAAATTGTATTCAGGAATCTAGTAGTTGGGCGAGTTACAGCGATACTTTAGACAATTGTGAGGAAAGAGTGATGGTCAACTTTGGTGAGATTCCGGGATCCGGAGCCAAATCGACTACGCATTATGCAATTTGGAACTTTTATTTCCAGCTCACTTCAGAAACAACGTATGTGCGATTTAAAACGGAGATGGAAAGCTCAACTTTGGTAGTATTTTGGGGCCAAATCAACTACATTTTGCAATGAAGAACTTTCATTTCGAGCTCACCTCCCTCAGAAAGAACGCAAGTGCGATTAATAACGGAGATGGGAAGCTCAACTTTGGTAAAATTTTGGGGCCAAATCGACTACATATTAAGATTAGGAGCTTTTATTTCCAGCTCACTTTCAGAATGAACGTATGTGCGATTTATTCCCCTATGCGGATGAAAGTTTTTGTGGATGGGGCAGAAATTACATTCCAGGATTTAAAGAAAGTTGCGCGAGTTAGCGCGATATATCAGGCAAAGGCGAAGAAACGGAGATGGAAAGCGCAACTTCGGTAAATCGACAATATTTTGCAATTAGGAATTTTTATTTCTAGCTCACTTCAGAAACAACGTATGGGTGACTTATTCCCCTTATGCGGATGAAAGATTTTGGTGAGAAAAGGGAGATGGATTTCTCAAAATTGGTAAAATTTCGGCGCCAAATTGACTTCATTTTGAAACTATTATTTCTAGCTCACATCAGAAACAACGCATGTACCACTACTAACCCTTTGCGGATAAGTGCTTTTACAAATTTGTCAGAAAGTGTATTCGGGAATCAGAGGGAGTTGGAAATAAGCTCAACTTTGGTAAAATTTCGGGGCCAAATAGACTTCATTTTGCAATTAGGATCTTTTACTTCCAGTTCAATTCAGAAACAATGCATGTGCGATTTATTCCCCTATGCGGATGACAGCTTTTACGAATATGTCAGAAATTGTATTCCGGGAATCAGAGAGAGTTGTCTGACGAGCGATACATTTGGCAACGATGCAAAAAGAGAGACACGAGAAAAAAAAGTCTCTTGGATCCAGAGTCCAGACTTATTTATCAAAAAAAGATACTCTTGATTCAATCGGATTTTTTCTTGAATCAAAAGGAAAATTGACCAATTCCTGAGCAGCGATAATAAAATAATTTGAGACCGTCGATGAGTCACTCTGGGTTTCAAGAACCCACGCGAAACTCAAAGTAACCGCCGTAATTGGTTTCATTTCATGTCAACTTCATTTTGAGATTTGTCAGCGTATTAGCGAAGAAATATGAGGTATGAAAATTACAGTGAGGTTTTTCTTTGAAAGAGTAAAGTTTTCGGTCGTCAAACATGTGTGTTTAGTTACCTACATGAAAAATACGCGACTTAATGAAAGTAAATTCTCTCTTTGATAGTGGCGAACGTGTGAGACAATTTATTCTTTATTCCCATTCACCAGTGACATGACATTCAGAAGCACATTACACCGTAGAGGACATGACGCCGACGCACGGTAAAACGCCTTCATTTCACTCTCTATGCAACACAGACAGTCATTGAGTACGATTAGTTGCATCCGAGCCAGGCGTTATCATCACAGTAATGTGTCCTTTTTTCTCTCGCCATTCTACTGAAACTTTAATTCAGTGCGCGTTGCTCTAATTTCTGCCGGTAAACTGACTGAAAGTATCAAAAATTCATGTCATCACAGGAAAATTAATTTTACGGTCAACCGTGACTTCCATTTTTTTTTCATTTTTTCATTAAAGTAAAAAAAAAAAAATAATGTGAATAGAGATAATCACCATATCGTTTAGAGACAATTTTCTTGTTTTGAACAAAGTGCTTGCAATGAAAAAGGGTTTGAAAATCTTACTAAAAGAAGACATTGAGACACAGACTCCGAGCAAAAAAATAAAAGATGCTAAGTCAGAGAGAATAAGACAACAAGAATACGAGAAGATGATCAATATAACATTATATTTTTTATTTTCTTTCTAATAAACACGAAGTTTCAAGGCATGACCACACAAGGAATTTATAACATCACAACAAATTCAACGATAAATCTGTAACATAAGCGAGAGCACCATTATGTATCTTGGGTCAATAAAGCACTATTGAGTTACCTAATAAATTGCGATGTCCTACTGCGCGTGCATAGGAAAAACTGCTGATTTGCATAATGAATTCTATTGCAGTTGCGCGATTCTGTCTCATCACGGCAGTATTCTGCCGTGTCTGGAAAAACGTCGTATGATCCAAAAAACGTTGCCTAATTTCCTCTGGTACAATACGAATTTTCCGAGAGTCTTGCGAATATTTTTCAGTTAAATTTTTCGCTCTCTCGTGTAAAACATACGAGAATTTCCAGGAAAAATATTCACAAAATTCCTCAAAAAATATATTTTATTGAGAGAAATTCAGCGACATTTGAATGTCCATACGACGTTTGCCGTATGAACATTCGAGGGTTGCCAAATTTACTTTGATAAAATGTTTATTTTGGAGGAAACTTATGGATAGTTTTCCTTTAAATTTTCAGAATCTTTAGGTGAAATTGCGAACAAAATTGTCTGAAAAATTGGGAGGAAAATATTCATGAGTTTACCAGAAAATTCGCGTTTCATGAAAGGAAAGTTGGCAACGCCTGAAGGTTCTTACAGCGTTTTTCCTCAACATGGCAGTATTAAGATCGGGGTGCTTTGACAAAGAAATTTATTCAAGATGGCTGCCCACGGTGTTCTTGCATCCCCGTTCAAGAGCTCATGAATTTTTCTAAATCGGCTGCTCTCTTGTTGTCCGGGTCGAAATGTGCCATGAGTGTCTTCCAGTCCTCAGGGTAGTCTTTCTGGAACGTGCTCACCGACTTCTTGATTAGCTCCTTGAACTTGGCCGAACAATCAGCACACTGCGTTTCGGTCAGGTCTGGAAGAATCTCTGAAAACGGGAGAAAATGGAACATTAACAACGCAAAGGGTCTTTTAATTCTGGATGGCTTGTTGCAAACCTTAGCTGGATCCAAAAGTAGATTTATTTCTTGCAGAAAAATCCTCAAAAATCACGATAAGCGCATTGACAAAATATGAAATACACTCCTAACTTTACAATTTGCGTGAGGAATATGCGATTTTTAAGATTACCGCTTCAAAATCGAGACTACAGCACAGTTGAGCAGAGATCGTATTCAATACATCAAACAGGTGAGATTGTATCGATATCGGTTGGTTCAACACGTAAACATAGCCTCAAAAGTCAATTTAGAAATCTGAGGTAACGGGTCTTTTGCGATAAATGTTTGATTCTTTGGAGTACCAAATGGCCATGAATTGCGAAATTGCTAGGAATTTTCTCATTTTCAGCTTTTCCAACTTAAATCCTAAAATTTTTGTTTGAGGTTATGTTCTATTGTTTTGAACCAAACGATACATCGAACCACTATCGAAAACGATCCATTCCGTAGGAGGAGTCGTTTCATCCAACCTTTGCGCACTAGGATGCTACGCAACATTCAATTTGACGCTTCCGCGCGCAAATCGTGGGGAAGCACCATGGTCTATATCAACGCAAGGAAAATGTAAATGTCAACATAACGGCCGTAAAATTTTCCGTCTCATCACATGTGTTTTCGCGGGCTGGCGTCGGCCATGTTGAATATTGTGTAGCATCTCAGTGCGCGAGGGTTGGCTGGATTGACTCCTCTTACAAATTGATCACCTGTGCCGGAGTCTCGTTTTGGAAGCGAGAATCCTTAAAAAAGCGCACACTGGAAAAAAAAAACACATTGGATCTATAGTCCAGACTCTTGAAAACATTGACAAGAAAAAAAAACTCTTGATTCAATCTGATTTTTGCTTGAATCAACACGAAATCCGCTTAAATTAAGAGGCTTGGTTCTTGATTTAAGCTAGATTTTGATTGAATCAAGAGTATTTTTTCTTGTCGATGTTTTTGAGAGTCTGGACTCTAGATCCAATGTGTTTTTTTCCCCAGTGTGAATGCTTTGCATGTGCATTTCTGCCGTATTTCCTAACAGTTCGAGAAATTATTCAAAATGGCGACAGAGTCTAAAAAAGCATCTTATTCTTGCTATCCTCAAGAATTAGTATCCTTCTGCTAACAATAAGGAGGAATGAGACAGTTTATTTACTCTCCTGGAAAATCGTGTTTTCCGAGATACGCTCTTCTGCACTTTCACCATCGATTAGTACTTAACACAGAACGGTGGCCAGCGCGAAACGTGCATTGGCGCCTACAAACCTAAAGGGATACTTCAAGCATTGCGCGAAACGCGCATTGGCGCCTACAAACCTAAGGGGATACTTCAAGCATTGCGCGACACGCGCATTGGCGCCTACAAACCTAAGGGGATACTTCTAGCATTGCGCGACACGCGCATTGGCGCCTACAAACCTAAGGGGATACTTCAAGCATTGCGCAACGCGTGAAGTATCCCTGTTACAGGTTTGTGGGCGCTAGTGACAAAACAGGTGTGCGGACAAAAAAATCAACTACTCGGTACCTAGGAAAAGATACATGTTGATGCAATGTGTTTTTTTTCCAGTGTATATTTCTTAAGGATATTATGAAATTAGGGGTGTACTTCAGTTTTTCCTAATGCGCCCGTCGTGATTTTTAAGTCATTTTCCACGAGAGACAACTCTTCGTTTCACTCTAGCTAAAATTTAGAACAAGCCCGTTTTGAGTTTGAGTTACGCTAAGAATATGCTCCTAGAAAATTGCCCCTTCATAAAAGCTCTTGGCAATTTTGCGTGGTTTTCGCCACTTTGTAGCGCCACCGTTCCAAACCGTGTTTCTGAGTTTAACGATCAGTTAACATTTAAGCCGCCGCAGTGGATTTTAATCGTTATATCGCGACCTGCTAAGGGTATCGTAAAAGTGACACAAAAGGCGTTTACAGCGTTAGACTTTTCACATGCCGATCTAGCGTGTTGAGAGACGGTAAAACTTGTGTAGAGGGATAACAAGAGATTATAAATTCCGCGGTGCACCTTGTGGCTCTACAAATCGTCGTACCTCGGACGAAAGGAAGTAACGTCATTCCGAAGTCGCAAAATTGAATGAATTAACGCGATTTTTTACAATAATACAACTGTACAATATATGTTCAATATTTTGCTGATTTTTGTGTGCGATCAAAGGAAAAATTAGAGAGGTTTTCTGATGGAAACGACTGACGGTATATTAGTAAATTTAAAGCTGGTGTGTGGAAATTTTATGGAATTGAAATGCGGTTACGCTCTTCAGTTTCACGAACGATGAAATCTGAGACGCTAGAAAGACCGGACAACGCGCGAAATCTGTACTCGTTGAATTCAATACAAGTTCAGATTATATTATTGAAAATACCAAGTCGGAAAAAAGTTTAATATTAAGCTTGTATGGATTAGAGTACCGAACCCGTATTGGGTGAGTGTTGACACTGTGGCGAAGCGTGAATGATACATTATCGATATTTATCCATTTGCAGCGATGGTAAAGGATCGATTATTATGGTGTTTGTTGCGAACACCCTGTTTATCAATCCTTTTCCATAGGTTTAAATGAAAGATAAATCGATGTATCGCAAAGCATGTCACGCCACTAGCGACTTAATAATCGACCCGGAAACACGCGTTATTTCGTGTCGAACGAGGCGTTAATAGTAGGAATGATCGATTTACTGTCATTTGATGACGTTTCCTTAAATCCCGCTGCTTTCGCCCCTCTGAATTCGCCGTTCCCTTTACAGAAGAACGTAACTTTACTCAAAGGTTGCCAAATTGATTCCAAAAATTCGATTTTGTACTAGAATATGATTGTGCAATTTCTGTCTTAAATTTTGCAGAATTTTGCGTGTAATCGATCACAGGAAAAATCGCTGAAATGGGTCATTATACCTGTGTTAATTATTTGTAATATTCCAAAAATATCAAGTGAGTAAATGGACCGCGTTATGCAGAAAGGTACCAAGCCCCACCAAATATTGCCAAATTTAACAGAGCAATTTATTATTCTTACAGGGAACGCTTTTGTGGATTTTTTTTGGAAAATTTTAAAGAATTCGCCTCGTACCAAGCAGAAAATTCACTAGAATTTGCACAAAAATCCGCACAACCATTTTCATGTAAAAAATTAAATTCCCAAGTTAAATTTGGCAATAGCTGATGTGACTTGGTTCCTTCCTGCGTATCGCGGTCCAAATTGCGTGGTGATTTATTCTGCCGTGCCAAGGAAGAACGCCGTATGAACCTTCAGACGTCGCCACAAATTTCCTTTCTTCACAATTTTGCTACGTTGAAGTATAGTTACGTTGTTCCGTCCGGAAAACGACGGATCGGACGCCCCTCCGAGGTACGACGTGATTCAAACGTGCGGGTATTTTTCTGAAATAAATCTATTTGAAGACCGGCGTCGTTTCCGTTGAAAAGGTAATTTTCTCCAACGTGTAATTTGCTCCGCTCCGCTGCGAAATCACCTGCTGCGGCTTGATTGTTGAATCGATATCGAACGACCATGATCGATATATAACATTGCTGAGATAGGGATTAATCGATCAGGATAATTCGATAACGATTCAACAATCGATCGCGACTTCGCGAGCCGCCGAGGAAAAACGCTATGTGAACATCTTAGGCTTCCTGCCAATGGCGTGGCGTGCTTGCGATATATCGATTGATCTGCCATTTAAACCTATGGAAAAGTATCGATAAACAGGGTGTTGGCAACGAACGCTTAAATAATCGATTATTAACCACGGCTTCAAATGGGGAAATATCTATAGATCGCAAAGCACGTCACGCCACTGGGCAACAAACACCTGAATAATCGATTATTTACCACAGCTTCAAAGGGGGAAATATCGATAAATCGCTTCTGCACCACTGCTTCCTGCATTTCCCCGGGTAAAATTTATTTTCAAGAAGAATTTTGAGTAGCTTTCCCTGAAATTTTTGGATACGTTCACTTTGAAAAATCTGCACATTCCCCCTATCAAATTCATGTGAAGTATCCGTATTTTATCGCACAATCCAGCAAATGAGATAGCAACAGATTATGCATCCCAACGTGTAGCGCGATGCGCCTTATGGCTCTACCAATGGACTAAATTTTGCAATTAGGAACCACAAATTCTGGCTCAGTTTAAAAACGAGGTGTGTATCATTAGTTCTCCTACGCACATAGGTGTTTTTACAGATGAGCGAGAACTTGTAGTTAATTGCTAAATGTAGTTCCTTAAACGAAAAGACGTAACATTTCGAGAGCGCGGATGACAAAGGCGGAGGACGAGAAGGAGAAAAAGAAGAGGAAAAAGGAGGAATAAAAAACGAAAAAATCCGATAAAAAAGAAATCCTTCTTCCTTTTTTCTTCTTCCTTTCTCTCATTTCCTTCTTCTCCCCTTTTTCCTCTCATTTTTCCTTTAGCTCCTCTTCTTAATCTGTTAATTCTATCTATTTTTCTGCCTACTCTGCCTTCCTCCTTTCCCTCTACTTTCATTTTACCCCGATTTCTTTTTTGAATAAATTTAATAGAAGTTAACCGACTCGATTTCAGTTTTTTCAAAATTTTGCAACTTCTTCTTTGCTTTAAAAAATACTTAGTATACGTAGATTAATAATTACACGACCGCCGTCGTCCTTGATAATCAACAATTTTTTGGTAGAAAAATAAATACAGTAAAAGCTCACTAAGTCGAACTACGGTTAAAACAAAACACCCCTTAAGTCGAAGAAAATTTTTCGAAAAACCCGACAAATTATAGAACTTTTATGTGAAAAAAGCAAGAAAAAGAAGTAATTCTAAATAAAAACCTACCGAAAATGAGTACTCTATCCATTTTTTATAATAGAAATTAAGCTGTATAATGGACCACTAGACAAGGTACGAATTTAAGCAATCTGATACATGATTCTTAACCAAAGATTCACGGGGAACACGATTCGCACAACGAAAATTACCAAAACCAACTCCTAACGAAGATATTAACGTTTTTATTTCACATTGGTCACGAGGAATTTGAACTGCCCGCTCACATGAAACTCAAAGCTCTACGTGAGTCAAATCGCGCACTACAGCGGTTTCAGCAAGCTTCTCGATCGAGCGATGTTCATTTCCCGCCATGTGTTTTTCAAACTATAAGTAATTTACTGTAGCTGAGCCAAAGCATCAAGATTGAGGTTGTCAGATTTTTATATCGCAGAGACTGCCTTGATAACATTTAGCGCGCGCTGTGAATCACGTAGAGCATTGAGTTTTCATGAGCGTGTAGTTTGAATTCACGCATCAAAAATCATTAAATATCTTCGTAAGGAGTAGATTTTGGTAATTTTCGTTGTGCGCATCGTGTTCTACGTGAAATTTTGGTAAAGATACATGCATCAGAATGTTGATATTCTTACCTTGTCTATTGGTCCAATTTTGTTGAATGCGCTCTATTTAACATAGAATATAACGACGGGAATTCCGTTAGTTTTAATTTTTTTCCGGCCTTGATCCTTAAGAATCCGGATCGGCGGTCCTCCAAATTGTCATTTATAGATTAAGGTTAAATTAAGATAGAATTCTCTGAAAATCTCAGAGAAGAAAATTTTACATTGCTGAAATTGAGTTGCCTCCCTTTTATTAAATGTGCTCCATTGAACATAATGAGTGCTGGCATTTTTCCGTCGGACTACGGTTCAATTGCAGAAGAAATCCTCTGGAAATCTCAAAGAACAAAATACATTCCGTTCCCGAAAATTGTTTATTTTAGCGGCGGAGTTTTGGCAACGTCTCAAGTTTCATACAGTGTTTTTCCTCAGGACGTGTCCGCTGATTACTTCCGTGCTCTGGAAAAACCATAGAGTACATGGAGTCGTCATGTAAATGGGAGAGCTGGCGCCATGTTCTGCTTGACGAGTTCCGAGCCCGGTGTGCGCCGAGTTCGGGTCACTTTTTCGATACATATTCGATCTAAAATGGCGGTGTGGAATACGTGGTGATTCCTATCTTCTTTGTTTACATTGGATAGCCGGGTACCCGTGTATCGCAAACAATCGATTATGTATCGAAAAAGTGACCCGGCGTCACACAGGAGTCTCGGAATTCGGGACCTGGAAAATGCTTAAAAGTGGCGCCAGCTCACCCACTCACATTACGACTCTATGTCCTCTATGGGAAAAACGCCGCGTGAACATTCGAATGTTGCCAAATTTCCTCTAAGAAAAAATTTATTTTCGAAGAAAGTTATGAATGATTCTCCTTGGAATTTTCAGACTTTTTTAGATCAAATTCCGAACAAAATCCTCTAAAAATTCGGAAGAGAAATATCCACAAATTTTCCTGAAAATACGTGATTTGTCGAATGAAATTTGGCAACACCTGATGGCTCATACGGTGTTCTTCCTCAGCACAGCATATTATGGGAGTGGGTCAACAGCTCCGTATTTAAAACCGAGTGTTTTCTGTTATCAGATCGAATCGCGCGAGAAATAAGCGCCGCCGTGGGTCATTACAATAACGTCCATCGCTCCTTATCGTAAGGACTCAACTGCCTTTCCGCGAAAGTCTCAAAGAGCACGAAGTTATGCAGGTTGCGAGGCTCCTCCTGCAATTCAGTTCAGCCCTTTCGTTCCAAAAGCGACGATTACAGACCATTATACGTGATAGCACGGAAAACCTGTTGAATGCTACCGAGTAGAGGGCCTTTTTCATGCGTGCTTTTCTCTTGTGATGAGAAGCAGTTCGATTTCTCCCAAATTGGCAACATTGTTTGTTCTCAAAAGGACCGCGTTAAGCAGAAAGGAACAAAGCCACATCAGCTGTTGCCAAATTTAATGGGGCAATTCAATGCTTTACATGAAAATGGTTATGCGGATTTTTGTGCAAATTTCAGTGAATTTTCTGCATAAAGCGAAGAAAATTCCTTAAAATTTTAAAAGAAATCCGTACAAACGTTCTCTTGTGAAGAATTAAATTGCCCACTTAAATTTGGAAATAGTTGATGTGACTTGGTTTTTTCTACTAAACGCGGTCCAATTTAAATTCATTACATAAAATCGATTGTTATAATGCCTGTCACAAATAGGTAGCAAAGAGAAGATAGGGATTCAGTGATGAAGTCATACAATAACGATATAATGGCAGAATAGATGTTCCACTGTGAGTTGGTCCCATTCGTTTTATTCAATCCTGTAAGAACCCATTTCGATCATTTAAAAATGGACCACATTTCGCAAGTAGGAACTAAAATTTCTGGCTTAGATCAGAAACAACGTATGCACCATTAGTTTCCTATTGCACATGAATAATTTTACGAATGAGAAATTAATTGCAGTCCTTAATTGCAAAATGACGTCCAAATGTACTACTGAGCACGAGTTTTACGTGTTTTCGTGCGTTGAGGCGGTATGTACTAGTCTCTCTTCGGGGAGGAAGGATTAAAAAATCTGATGTTTAGCGTCACGCATATTATGAACAACTCCTAATCTTAATGAAAATCCCAATCCTCTAGGATAAACACAAATGGACCACGTTAAGCAGAAAATAACCAAGCCACATCAGATATTGCCAAATTTAACAGGGGACTTTAATTTCTTACGAGAGGACGTTTGTGCGGATTCCTAAGAAAATTTTAAGGAATGTACTTCGTTCAATTCAGGAACTTCACTGAAATCCGCACGAAAATCTGCACAACCATTTTCACATAAAAAATGGAATTGCCAGATTTTTGACGATGATTCATGTGCTTGGTTCCTTGCTGCTAAACGCGGTTCATTCAAGAATCGATGCTACAAGGGTACACAACAAGCAGAAAAGAACCAAGCCACATCAGCTACTGCCAAATTTAACTGACAATGAGCAATTAAATGTTTCACAAGAGAACGTTTGTGCGGATTCCTTCGAAAATTTTAAGGAATTTGCTTCGTACTAGACAGAAATTTCACTGAAATGCGTGCACAAAAATCCGCACAGTCGTTTTCATGGAAGAAATTAAATTGCCCGATTAAATTCGGCAGTAGCTGATGTGGCTTGGTTCTTTCCAGGGTGGCTTGAAACGTAAGAAAGAAATGAAAGATTGGAAACTTCAGTGAAATATTTCACGAAATTTTACGAGGCTGTGAAATATTTCATGTTTTTCAGGGGCTAGAGTATGCAACCCGCACTCAAACACACACAAATAGAAGAAAGTCACGATTTTTACATTTTGCGAAACATGAAAAGGAACCAGTATTTCTCGATGACTTTCATAAACTGCAATTTCATGAAATATTTCACGTGAAATTCCAAGATTTTATTTTTCATGAAATTTTGCCACCCTGTTCCTTTCTGCTTACACTGGAAAAAAAAAAAACACATTGGATCTAGAGTCCAGACTCTTAAAAACATCGACAAGAAAAAGTACTCTTGATTCAATCCGAATCTAGCTTAAATCAAGAACCACGCCTCTTATTTTAAGCGGATTTCGTTTTGATTCAAGCAAAAATCCGATTGAATCAGGAGTATTTTTTCTTGTCAATGTTTTCAAGAGTCTGCACTGAAAAAAAATTCTCGGCGTCTTTACCAAGGTCCGTTGGTACCTTTACCATCTCACTTTTTTTTACAAATATCGATAATTTTACCAAGACAGACTGGTAAGCTTACCTAAAAACCGGTATTTTTACTGTTTTTTCCAGGTAAGAATACCACTTTTATTGATAATCAATTCCCGGTAACTTTGCCATTTTATCTCGGTAATTCTACCACAGTCGATAAAACATATTGGCGTTTTTACCTACCAAGGTCCAGTAAAATTACCGAGAAAGTTCAATAATTTTACCGAGATTTCTCGGTAAAATTACCAATTCCATAAATGGTAATTTTACCCCAAAAACATGGGATCAAATAGAACCCTGAATTCTTGGTAATTTTACCCTCTTCTTAGTAAATACACCGAGATTTTTTTTTCAGGGAACCGGTATTTCTCAATATCTTTCATAAATTTCTGTAATTCCATGAAATATCTCACGTGAAATTTCAAGATTTTATTTTTCATGAAATTTTGCCACCCTGCTCCTTTCTGCTTAACGCGGTCAAAATAAAACAAAAATGCATTACTCACTCTTGAATTCAGCAGCATCCGCAGTACAGGGCCCTTTGTCGACCATGCAGTTGACGTAGGCGGTCCTCAGCCTCTTGTTGGACAGGATGCTCGACAAGTCCATGTTCTCGAATTTCTCCAGGTCGCTCTGCTCGAGGGGGGCGGGGGCGCCCGCCACGAACCCCACCAGCGCGACCGCCACCAGCAAAAGCGTCACTCGGATCATCCTCGCTTCGAAACTACACACAAGGAACTTTTCGGAAAATCGCGAATGACGGAATGCGCACTGTGACAGACCTCGCCGCGTGGGAAGTCTTATAGACGCCCAGGGACCTTGGTCAGAGGCTAATTCGACGTGTGTGTGACCACTAATGACGCGTACGCCATGTAATTACCCGCTAATGCACGATGCACGCTGCAGTCCTATAGACCGTCTTCGGGGGGTTTTCGTTAAAGGTCCCCAGGTTCCCCGGATTCATCGAGAAGTAATCAGAAATCGGAGTCTCCATTAGAGAACATCTTTTTTTTTCAAGTTTCCGGGAGGGAGGATGTGAGCACGATTGCGAAAGCTACGTGATCAACTTGGATGCATGACGACGTAACGGTGAATGCGTCAATTGAACTTAAAACTTCTAAACGTGCGTCTGAATGTGTCATCGAAACTTACGTTTCGGTTATTTCGTCGTTCTTATAGTCAAAGGAACGAGGAAAAAGAGGTGGGGGCTAAGTCCCAGCTTGGATATTTCCAATAAATTTTAGTATTACCCCAATAAATTAGGTTAATAACCCAAAGGTTGTGGCACTACCCCAACATGTCGAGTTAGTCGCCTTCCAGACACACTGAAAAAAAAAACCACATTGGATCTAGAGTCCAAACTCTAGAAAACATTGACAAGAAAAAATACTCTTGACTCAATCGGATTTTTGCTGGAATAAAAACGAAATCCGCTTAAGTTAAGAGGCTTGGTTCTTGATTTAAGCTAGATTCTGATTGAAGCAAGAGTACTTTTTCTTGTCGATGTTTTTAAGAGTCTGGACTCTAGATCCAATGTGTTTTTTTTCCAGTGCAAAGTATCTCAAACGCCATGCGACATTCCAAAATTTCCGCCGTCATTTTATTTTTTAACAGGGATATTGTTGGCTGAATATGTTTGCAAATTTCACTGAATTTTATAAGCAGCACGAAGACAATTCAGTGAAATTTTCGGACAGCTTTGTGGAACAATTTCTCTGTAAAAAAAAAAAATGGCGGTGGAAATTATGAAACGTCGCATGGCGACGTTTCAGTCAGTGGAAATGTCCAACGGAAAATGTCCAAGAGACAAAATGTCCAGAAGCTGAAATGGCCAAAATTTAAAACGTCCAAAACCCAAAATGTCCAAAACCTAAAATGTCCAAAACTTAAACGGGCGTAAAACAAGTATTTTTTGCCTCGCCTTTATATGTGGCAACAGGTCAGAGAGACAGCTGAAGTTAATTTCATATTATGAATGAGTGTAGGTTTTCATATTTGAGATTACCATGACGATGCTGCAGGAAACAGAATTGTCAATCGTACTTCTCAATTTGGATCAAAACTGAAATCGTAAGTGCCATAAAATTTGCATAGTCTTTCATTTTTAATGTGTAGTGTACAATTGGACCTAAATTGTGTAGTGGTTTCGTCGTTTCTTTGCCACGGCTGGCCAATTTTTTTTTTCGGCAAGACCTCCGGTTTTCCCACCAGAATTCTGGAATGTATATGAATCAGTTACCAACAGAATGCACAGAACGACGAACGTTGTTGAAGGGTGGCACAGTTTGTTGCAGAGGCTAATATCAGCGCACCACGTGAATATTTGGCGATTTATTGAGCACATCCAAGCTGAACAAAATGACGTAGAACAGCTTATTACGCAGATTCGAGGTGGTCACGCTCAAATAAAACATCCGATTAGTCGCCGGTATATCACTAATCAAGCCAGAGTGGAAAGTATCGTGGCTAGCTATGGGCAATACAAGGAAGATGAAGCGGTTGATGTTTATCTGAGAGCCATTTCCTACTGATTGAAGAAACCCAAAAGAATTGAAGAAGAAAACGAAGAAGGAGAGGCTTGAGGCATTACGTAAGCTGATGTTAAGCCATTTTGATGTTGCATATATGTGGACCTATGGGACATAAGGGACATTTTGAATATGGGACATTTTGCATATAGGACATTTTGAATTCTGGACATTTTAGCTTTTGGACATTTTGCCGTGGACATTATGACAATGGGCCTGTTGCATGCAAGAGATACAGCCGTGCGAATAGACTTTTTAGAGGTTAAATGACATGAAAATTACGATGGTCACATTAAAAAAGTCTGAAAGACACTCCTTACTGCGCAATTTGCGTTGTTAGGAGCGCGCTTTTTCAAATTTCCCGCGTCGGGGGGCAGTTTTCTTACGGAAACAATTAACGGCAACTCGCGGCTATTTCCGGTCAACTAAAACTGACAACATAACCTAAAAATCGGAGCTCATGATATCGTGAAATGAAATGTAGAAGGATTGCGTTGGATATTTAAAAGTTGATCGATTTGGTGACCGCATAAAGCGTATATGGACCACTATAAGAGATCACGTTGGGTTTGTGAACAAACTGAAGAAAAAAATAACAACAACAACGACTCGGCATCTTCCGGAAATCACCGAGCCCGCCGTTTGCTCGTTTCCGGTGATTAGAAAACTGCCCCCAGAGGCGGGAAATTTGAAAAAGCGCGTTCCTAACAACGCAAATTGCGCAGTAAGGAGTGTATTTCAGACTTTTTAATGTGACCATCGTAATTTTCGTGTCATTTAACCTCTAAAAAGTCTATTCGCGCGGCTGTATCTCTTGCATGCAACAGGCCCATTGGACATTTTAAATAGGACATTTTGTTTATTGGACATTTTTTATTGGACATTTCCACCTGTCACCTGTGATACTATGCCCGGAAGGTGACAAGTTGCAGTGCTACCAAAATTGACTGGAAATGTCCGTGTCATCCAACAAGTTGAGGTAGTACCACAATTTTAGGGGATAACCTTTGATAATTTTTCTTCCGTGAACGTAAATAAAATTCAACGTTCCTAAAATTATTTTCAATTTTTTTTTTTTTTTTTTTTTTTTTTTTTTTAACTCGGGAGGATTTGGCATTTTTTCTTTGAAAATTTCACAGATTTTTCCGTGGATTATTGTCAAACATCAACAAAATTTTGTACGGAAACTGCACTGTATTCATGTTTAATTAGGAGAACATTGAAAATTTCACAAAAATATTATTGACGCCTGAAGGCGCTTGCCAGGCTTGGAATTTCTTCTCTTTAAATGGTTTAATGTGGTACCACGAGGAAAAATTTGATCAAAATTCTATGAGAGATATGTAAAAGCTCTCCTTGGGCGAAGTCAGGCTCAGTGCAGCTCATCGAAGGGTCGCTGCTTCAAAATTATCGGAGGTACATTCTAGCATGCTGATGTTCTCTAACCTTTCTTACTCCTGCGTTTAAGTCACCTAAGCGAGCACACCTTCTTTAAGTGACAAGCGGCACAAAAATAATGAACCAATGGCGTGAATGATCAATTATCGATATTTTTCCATTTGAAGCTATGGCAAAAAATCGATTATTAAAGAGTTCGTTGAGGAACACTCTGTCTGCTGATCTTTTTCCATAGGTTTAAATGGCAGATCAATCGATAAGTCGCAAAACACGCCACGCCACGCAAACATTCGTTTTTTATAGGAATGTACAATTATTTGGGCCAAAATGTCGCTTTCCTGACTCGAAAAAACTGACTGTAAGTTAAATACACACGGATTTTACTGAAAAATAAAACTACATTTTGTCGACAAAAATCGATACGCTTAATCCAAAGTAGCATTTCCGACGGAAAAATCGCGATATTTGAAAATTAAGTTGCGCTTTTCTTACGGTTTTTTGGCGATAAAATCGCTAGAATCATCAATATCTGAGAGATTATCCTTAATCTTGTCTCAGTTTTATCTGTACAAAATCGCGTTCGATAAAATCAAAATTGTACCCCAACTTATCACCAATTTGTGTTCGATGCTATTTCGAAAAATCGCCGTCGATAAAATCGTGATTTTGTTGCAAGTATAGGCGATAAAATCGCAATTTATCGCAATATTTCATCCGATATACTGCAATAAATCGCCGTCGATAAAAGCTTGATACATCTTCCGATAACTTATCCCGCTCTCTGCCAGTGGCGTGGCGTGCTTTGCGATATATCGATTGATTTGTCATTTAAACCTATAGGAGAGGATCGATAGACAGGGTGTTTGCAACGAACACCTAGCTAATCGATTCTTTACCATAGCTTCAAATGAGGAAATATCGATAATCGATTATGCACGCCACGCCACTGCTCTCGGCTACTTGGGTTTAAGTCAAAATAATACCTCAAGAAAATTTGTTTTTAGTGTAAGTTGGGTCATTCTTGAACTGAGTGATTAAATTTGAACTTTCTCAACTCTCCCGCTGATTCCAGTGATCAGTGTCCGAGGCGGTGACAGTTATGGGCGTCGTTAATGGATCTCAATTGTCTTCGGCTAATTCCCGCCGTAAAATCGCAGCCTCTTATCGCCTTGCAATTATTCAGTCATCTTCGCGACCTGGTGCTCGGTTGTTTTTCCACTCACTCGCTCATCGCTGCATTACCCGTCGATGCCTCGCTGATTCATTCACTCCATCAAGACGCAAGTGCAGAGGTGCTAGGCCGCGGGGTGAGTCAAATCCAGAGGCAATGTGAATGGCATGTTGCAGAAAAGCCCCGACGCCCATTTTACACATTCAGAAATGTCCGTGTTTATGGGGATTTTGGGTTACACTGAAAAAAAAATGTTCGGTAAATCCGGACTAGTTAGGATCATATGGAGCCAGGTTTTGTTCGGTACACACAACCGAATTATTCGGTCTGTTCAACCGAATTGTTCGGTTTGTGCGACCGAACCATAATAAATTCTTACAGTTCGGTTGAGCAGACCGAATAATTCGGTCGTGTGTATTGAACAAAATCGTGGTTCCATATGATCCTTACTAGTTCGGATTTACCGAACTTTTTTTTTCAGTGATAGTTTTCTTTTGGCTAGGTGAACGAAACCTATTTGGCTGATCAGCTTACTTTTTTGTTAAATCAAAAACCGATTTGACACACCGAATAGTTAGGATGATAAAAAACATTGACAATAAGTCCTCTTCCATAGGTTTTTTCGGCAACACTGAAATGTAGTTACGTTCTTTCACTAGGGAAACACGACAAATTATCAAGGGTGATTTATCAAAGCCTGATGGCTCATACGGCGATTCTTCCTTACATTGCAGGGTTGTAAACTCGAGAATGGCATCCTCTAAATTTCTCGAGGATTTGACTGAACGTTTCTTTCCTTGGATCATAGTTGACCGCTCGAAGATATATGTATTTTGCAGCGGTGATCAGACAATCCTGTTTCATGTTCGCGGATGCGTAGATGAGCACATTTGCGCCATGGAAAAGTGATAATTTGATTTTTAATACCGCCCGGACGGAGGTCAGCCTCTAATCAGTTCTTGCAAAGCGCGAAGTGACGGGTCCAGCCCCCAGGGGCTGCCCCACCTGGCTTCCAAGGAGCCCAACCCCCGAGCGTACATGGTTAATATTAGGATGACCCTTTTCGTCTATTTTCGAAATTTAAAAGCCACTAGTGTATATCGGATGCTCTCCCACCAGTCTGAAGAGAGACCTTCTTCCTGAATATCAGTGGTAAAGTTCCCTTTTTGGAAGCAGCGAGAAAGGCTGACAGCATTCTTTACCCAAGTAGCAGTGATCGCGATAAATGGTGATTTTATCGGTTGATTATCGAGATCATATCGGTGGCAATTTATCGCAATATTATCGAATAGAAAATTGCAATTCATGGCGATTAAATCGTTATGCATCGCAATTTTTTGTTCAATAAAATCGCGATCAATTTTCGTCGATAAAATCGAAATTAAATCGCCATATATCGCGATTTTTGTTGCGATAATATCGCGATAAATTGCCGGGCGATAAAGTCGCGATTTTCTTGCAACAAGATCGAGGATAATCGCTCCGATGTTGAAAATCTTAGTGATTTTATCGCCGACAAAATCGCAACAAATCGCGATTTTTCCGTTGAAAAATGCTACTTGGGTAACTCGGATTTTCTTGACCTCAACTACCGTTTACAAAGTATTGAAGTATTGCCTATTCGGACTGGTAAAATTAAAGTATGCTTCTCGGTTCAGAGGACAGTACTCTCAGTTCATCATTTCCCTCACGAAAGAGCGTAACTTCATTAACTTTACATTAACTTAGCGCGATTCGCGAGTCAAGAGCCGGGTAGAGATTGTGCAATGCTTGAAGTATCCCTACAGTTTAGCAGGCGCTTCCCGCGATTGTTTTTCGCGCCAAGTTCGAAGTTTCGGACATTTTCTTCCGGAGCAAAGGTCCCTTTTCACCGATCCGTTCACGATAGTGAAACAACAAAACTTTCTCGCATATTCACGACAATGGAAAAGAGCTTGGTAAATTTTCCGCTGACTTAGAGATGTTGACGCAAAGTAGAAAAGCGGATGGGGCAAAACGCGTGATATGACTATTTCAACTTTCAAGTAGGTAAAATTGCGTATCCTCGAAATGAAGGAGATATAATTTCTTTTCCACTGACTAGGAGACTTTAACGCAGGAGTAAAAAAATCTGATGGGGGCAAAACGCCTGATACAACTATTTCGACTTTCAATTAGGTAAAATTGCGTATCCTCGAAATGAAGGAGATATAAATTCTTTTCCACCGACTCAGAGAATTTAACGCAGGAGTAAAAAAATTTGATGGGGGCACAAAGCGTGATACAACTATTTCGACTTCTCAATAGGTACAATTGCATACTTGCAAAATGAAGGAGAACATGGTGTTCTATATCCTTTCGTTTTAGTTCTCTTAGAACTTTTAGTTCATGTACGATGTACATTGAACTAAGTAATGAGGTTGAGAAAACGGTATATGAGGGGAGTTCGGTTCCATGAACCAAACTGAACTTTCAGTTACACAAATAAAAAAATTGGTTTCCCTCTAAAGAATGCACTGATTTTTACGAAAACTCATGACAAGAATGTTGATATTTTGTAAAAATTAGTGGGAACACTCTGATAATTGGATGCATTTCTATCAAACGGAACTATGTGCATAAAGACATGAGCCCTGAGACCCATAAAAATACACGCATGACAGGGCTCACGTCATAATGCACATAGTTCCGTTTGATAGAAATATGTCCATTTAAAAATCTAGTGCAATTGAAAGTGTTGAATTTTGGAGAAAATGACTGCGTAAGTGTTACATTTTTGAAAAAATTACTACGAAAGCATCAAGTTTTTGAGAAATTTACCGCGAAAGCATCAAATTTTTAGAAAATTACTGCGAATCCATAATGTCATAGTATGTAGACTGAATCCAAGGTTGCTTGAAACCACAAAGGCCAAAGAACTTTCTATACTCCTGTCAAGGTTTCAACAAGGTATCAGCGTAAACATTGTGGCAACAACGATTGACACCGTGCTCAGACGAAAAGTAAAACACACCACTAATTGCGTAGCCATGGGGCCAGGAGGCTAGACCCCTAAGGACAGAAAAACTCGCACTCTCCCAAAATCATTCAGTTATTCTGTGAATTAATCCTGGAATTAGAAATAGGGAGACCAGCCGTCACACCGGCTACCAATAGGTTGTTACACTTTTATTTCAAAACAAACAATTAGTATTGCAATGTTGCACAGGAGACACCTATGGAATAGGACTTTAGAGGGAAGTAGAGCCCCCAAATTTATTCTCTGAGGGTCTATCTTAGCAAAAAATTCTGAAGACAAAGTGATATTAAACAAATAAGATTCAAACAGATTCAATGATGTCTACTCTTACATTAACTCTTATGTTTCAGACTTAATCACCTACCGAGTTAAGATGGGGGGAGGACAAAACATAATGATGAAAACGAGGAGTAACAGTAACATATGCATATTTTTAATAATATCCATTAAACATACTTTTATTGATAATTCAATTAACAAAAGCTGAAACCTCAACCTCATACCAGATGGGTTGGGCTCACTAAAACTACGGAAATAATACAACGTGATAACAGAGAACATGAACATTAGATGATAGAAGAGAAAGATTAATTTGTGAGGAGGACCTCATGACAATCTGGAGCCATTCACGTTTGATTATTCTGAATTTTATGATTAGCAAAATTTCCTCTCCTGATTTTGAGGTCTCGAGATGGATGCCTCTGGAACAGAGACAGCACCAAGGTATACCATACAGGACATTGACTCTTCACAAATTTTGATGAGAATTGAATGGATTTGTGAGTTAAAGTGGAAAAAAAAATCTCAAAATATCTATGGTAACATTGCAGAAAAATACACTATGTAGGTACGAAAATACCTTCTACAGAAAAAAATGCTTGATAGGTACAGATTTATTCAATGGAAAGCCCTCATTTATTTCGATATTGAAATAAATTTCCGATGAAAACATTTTTCAGAATCAGTGTTGGTATAATGAATGGATAAGGAAAAAATCTGATGGCTTAGGAAAACCTGACCAATATTATGGTACTCTAAGAGTGAGAGAGAAGAAAAAGAGATTGAAATAAAAAAAATTAAAAAACCGTTGGTTTGATGCGCCTTGGCACGAAGCTGTATTGATTCTAATCGCACAAAATACCTATTCATTTTCAGGTTGGAAAAAGATAACAGATATCTTACTTAAACTTTCAGCAGCTGAGGCTCATACATTCATTTGACAGAATGGAATGGAGAGGTGAATCTTGAGTAATGAAATGAGTCAAGTGAAATTTAAAAAAGTTGCTCAAGCTTCATAGCGGATCTCGTTCCAGTAGGATGTTATGATTCGCACTAAAATGGTACGATCAATGATTTTTTAGCCTTACAAAACACTTGGAATTATCATGTCTTTGACGTTATTCAAGAAGAAATAAAAATCCTCATGAAATGATTGAAAATATGGTTCACAGGAAAATCTGACAATCTCTCCACTGCAAACTTAAGCTAGAATGAAAACGAGAGTCTTTCTCCTTAAAATTCAACATTTTTCTCCTCTTAATAAAAATTGCCGGAGACCTTTTCATCATTTCACGCATTCTTCAAAGTTCAATTTGGACTTCCAACATCATTAGTTCAAAGACCGTACTCATAATTGAATTAATGTGACTGAAAATTACAAGAGGGCAAGTACAAAAATACAGCAGTTTCCAATAAAAACACATTTTAAGGAACCAGCCTTGAAAATGATCAAAGGCAAAACAGAATTTGAAGCTCAGAGAGAATTTGGCTCGAAAAGGCCAAAGAAGTTTTAAAAGAGCCCTGACAACTTTGTAAGTAGAAAATACGACCTTCCCGTTTTTTTGTTTTTACTGGCGTTATTTGCAGCAATATTATGTGAGCGTAAAATCTGATAAAGAGAAATCCCTGATCAGAAAGAAAGAAATATTAATACGCGCTTGTTTCAGGAGTTAAAGGCTGTTTTTCTTAAACAAATTGTGTACGAAAATAAAGTTATGGCACAATCTATGAGATTTCATTTCTCCAGCAATGAATCAAGGTATGAATTATTATCGCTTCTTTTGAAAGGACTATGCACAAAGAACCGAGATTTTTGAAGTTGGCTAAATTTTGATTTTGTTTGATATGCTGCTCCTAAGGGTGACAAAGATGACTTTTTAATGTCGATCTTTTACACATGCCAATCTCAAAAAAGCAGGGCTGAAAAGTTAATTTTTCTTCTTTCTTAGACGCGTTTTCTAGAGGAGAAATGGAACTGATGCTTTATGCGTGGGGACACTGCGCTACTTGCTGCTAATCATTCAAAATAATTTGATTCTTTTTGTCTGTCTTATCTTCCTGGCATGCAAGGAAACAAAAAATCTCCTTGATCACCGATCAGATGTTTATACTAGATATTCCAATCATAAAAATTGAAAAATATTTGCTGTTCAGCCCTGTTTTCCTAGAGGTTTGCACGTAAAAAATTAGATTTCAAAAACTCCTTGTACTCTAGAGGCTGTAAGGAACACCATATCAAAGAATATAAAAATCAAGCGCTGAATTACGTGCGCAGTAATTTCTTCATACTGATCAAGCGGAGAGCAATTTCACCGCTTGCATTTAAGCTAAATATATCAAAATTCATTCAATTTTAAATTATCTTAACATCAAAACGTTGAGACTAAAAAGTAATGTAGCAGAGGACAATGAAGCCAAGATGAACAACAATTGAAGATTCTGCACGAAGACCAAAAGTTGCGACATATTTTCGACACAATTGAGAGACACTTAACACTGATTCATCATGATCAACATGAAATTGAAAGACTTGAAAAGAAATCACTGATCGATCGAGAAAGTTAAAAAACAGTACATACAAGTAAGATCAATACGATGAGCAGATGTTTGTAATTGTGCAAAGTTTTCTATGTGCGCACTCCCTCACATGGGCCAGCCATCACCAGGGAAAAAATATATTTACCTTTGTGCATATTTATTTTGAAAATGATCACAGGAATTTTGCATTGACTTTTTGATTTCAACCGTTAAAAAAGAGGGACAAATTCATGTGAGAAATAATACAGCATGGTTTCCATTGTAATTAACCTGCCGAAAACACAGGTGCTTTGGCTGTAAGATTTCTTTATGATGAAAACAGAATTATATTTTTCCATTGTAGGACTGGGAAGTAAAAAATAGTGATTTCGTTCAGAGCAAAACTTCTATCAAAATTGAAATTGACTCAATCTAGACCATGTTTTCACTTGTGAATTAACTGGATATTATTCATGAGCTAAGGCGGGCAGATAGGAGTTGAATAGATCACTTCATTTTTGGCCACAGCTGTTCTCCGAGAAGCAAGGTTTGCAGCAAAAAAGGTTTAAGTAGTTTGTAATGCTTGAGATAATGGCAGTTAAAATGATGAAGTTTCCATAAAATCACACGCATTTGACTGAGCTTACAGCTACCTATGTCAAATTGTGAAGATACAGAAAAAAAACACCACCAAGTTAAAAAAAAAATGTTATAATGTACCTCCAATTGAAATCTACGATCTAAGTTCTTCTCTATTGGCGAATAATTATTCTTTAAAATTATTGAAAAATATCTGTGCGCTGAATTACAAAGAGAAGACAATCGAAAAATATATTGATACAAAGAAAAAAAAATTCTCTAGCGTGAGTAACGTACACATTAAAAAGACATGAAATGCAATCTAACTGAACCAGAAAATTCATCCTACAATTTGAATATTTCCTCTTCGATCTAAGCAGGAAAAAATTGAGAAATTAACAAGAGAGATAGAAAAAGTTTGGTCATAGACTCAAGGTTCTGTTCTGAGTCATATAAGTATACTCGGAACAGAAAATTGAAAAGCGACAAAAAATTAGGCTTGGTTGGATTAATATCAGAGTTTGGAGAACAAATAAATAGCAGATCAGTTCAGTTTTGGATAAAAAAAATGGTTAGTTAATAGTTGGCAAAAGTAATAAAATTGGATGGGATGATAAAAAATAGAGAGACAGGAAAAAAACAATAAGGATGAAACAGATTGTACACAAACGCTAAATTAAAAAAAAAAAAACTAAATTCTAGAGTTGTTGCAGACGATTGATTCCTGATCATGTTAAGAGTGATCTCCATTTAAAATTTAACCTTAAAAAAAGTAAGAAGAAAAAGAATGAAGAGAATCGTGGAAAAGAACAAGAGTCCAACTTCATTTTTTTCAATTTATAAATTCAAGGATGTGCGATAAAAATTGCAATTTCCGCTCAAAATTTCAAACAGGCATCATTTCTGCAAACGCACGACTGGTTTTTATTGTCAATTCCACATCAAACCCGAAATATCCCTAACGATATCTTATCATGTCAGTTTCTGATACACCTATTAAAAAAAATGCGATGATACAATGTAAAATTAGAGAAAAAACTGGTGGGAGTCTCTTTCCCAGCGGACACTTGAAAATATTAGTTGCGCTTCCTCCCCCTCGGGTGTTTTTGGAATCTCTTTCTGGTTAGCTTGCATGAATGAAACTCTAATATAGCATTTTGTTTCCAACAAATGGTTAAAGAAAAAGAACCCGAAAACTGGTAATACTCGATAAAACTTTCAAATTCATAACAAAAAAAAAAAAACAAAGGACCTTAGAATAGATGAAGAAATAGAAAGAGAATTAGGACGAGAGAGTGAAAAAGGTAACAATGAGACCTACAGCTAAGGAATCAAGACCTGCTTGATTAGGACTTATCTAAAATTCGGACGAGACAGAGTCTTTCTGTCACCGTTCTTCAGTCAAGTCGAACACTTTGTTTGCGTTCTCGGGCAGCCCGTACACCTCTGGCTGGTCTGGTTTCGTCTGTGAAGGGGCGTTTGGACCCACAAGTCGAAGCACTGTCAAGTTTGATGAGCCTTCTGTTCCCAAAACTATGCACGACCCACCTGGCAGCACTTCAGAGGCGGTAATTCTGTTCGATGGAGTGAACACGGCTGTAAGCTCACCTGGAAATACGAGTAAAAATGGTATGATTTAGTTGGTTGGGTTAAGTTTTGTGGAATATAATTTGTGGAAATGATTGGACTGCATTTTGCAATTAGGTAGATTTGTCTGAAAAAATCGTATTCAAAAGATTAAAAGTGAAGATTTATTTCAGAATTTTGATACCAAAATCTAAAGTCAGTCCAAATAAGATTTCATTCTCAAAATTCGAATTTTCCCAAAAATTAAAGTCAGTAGATGCTATACAAATAGTATTTTTTAAAAAATTTTAGCCCTTCAGCATCATAATTAATTAATGGCATCGCTGTTTCCTACAATAATTTTTCGTACTGTTGCGCTTTGTGCAGTTTTGTTTAGAGAATTTAGCGATTTTTCAAAATTGAATTTCTCTAAAATTTTTCTCAACAGGGTGAACTGATTTTACCTAATTTACATAAGTATTTGAGCAATTAATTGCTGCAGGAAAAAAAAAAATTAATTCTGACTTCCTTAAAATTACTTATTGGAGCCTGCCGGCAACTTTTCAGCGTTTTAAATCTTGAATATTTTTTTAATTTCGTTTACTTTTTTGGAATGTTACAATTTACTGAGCAAACAATCGCAGCAATTAATTCTAGAAAACTACTTAGGGGGAGACGAGCTGAAAGTAGACCTTTTCTTTCACCAAGTCTTCAACTCTGTTGCTTTAATGTAAAGTAATTTTGTAAGAATTAGAATCATAAGCCAATTTTCTCATGACAAAACACTGTCTAAAAAAATTTGAAATGCTATAATTGACTTACAGAATTTTCAAAATTAACTCACACTTGATGCGAGAGAAATTAAGGTTTAAGATTAGGTAATTTGGGAAAATTAGAAGAGGCGTTCCTTAGTTTCTCTTACATACAGCATCAAATATACTGAGATAAATAGAAGTTGCATGTAAGGCTTCAAACTTAAGAATAAAAAAAGTTATGAATTCTGATGACCGTACCATTATTTAAGTTCCACAGTCTGATGGACATGTCTCTGCCTTCTGAATCAGACGATAGAAAGGCGCCACCTCGAGAGTCAAGCCGCAGCAGAGTGACAGGAGCTGAGTGACCTTTTAATGTCCACCGACAGTTACCTAAGTAAAAAAATAGGGAATATTTTCACTGAGCAACTGATGTACAAAATTGATATTGACATCCCTAGAATCATGAAAAAAAAAAATCTAGGATGAAAAAGAAAGGCTCTACGTTAAAACAACTTGTAAAAACTTTGTTTAAAACTGAAAACTTTTCAAAACATTACAATGAGTCAGTTGCGCTGGTCACAGAATCGTGTTTTGTACTTGATTCTTATAGATTATCTAAAAATAATAAGATCTGTCTAAACAGCAACTTTCTACGTTCAATATTAGCCGAGATATTGCGCTTTGAAAAGTCAGGTTTTTGACGTCATACACCAAGGTAATGACACCCTTGGTTTCTTCCACTTTGCTTTCATGCGAGTTTCACATTGAACAATCAGTGCATACGCGTCACACTGACTGATGGAAGCAAGGTGGAAGAAACCAAGGGTGTCACCACCGCGGTGGATGAAGTCAAAAACCCGACTTTTCAAAGGGCGATATCTCGGTAAATATTGAAAGTAAATATTTGCTGTAGGGGCCGATCTTATTATTTTTTGCTAATCTACAATAATCAAGCTTCAAAATATGATTCTGTGACCAGTGCAACTAATCCATTGGCAACTAGGTTGATTTTTGTAGAAAGAAGAATGTGCGTCATATATTCATTATAACTGGGTGGAAAGTTTGCATCCAATTTTGTCAGACTCTGAAACCATCGATTTCAAGAATTTATGAGGAGGTAATTAAGTGAGAAATTTAAATATAAAGGACCGATCATTGAAGAAGGGCCCACAGTGCTGAAAAACTGCCGATTTAGTTATCGGGGCCATCTAAGTCTCGGTTCTCGGTCTTTCTAGTGCAAGACTCCCCCAAAAATGTCCAATTGAACTAGAATTGAGATAGTTTAAGGATTGCAGTTCAAAAATCTTAGTTTTGAAAGAGAGAGAGCGATATAAAGTTTAAAAAAGAGACATCAAACAGAGAAGTACAGTCAGAAAAATGCACTTTTGTGGACTTTCTTGTAGAGCAAAAATGAACTTGAATGCTGCCAACTTATTTTTACGATAGAAGAGAGCAGTTTAAATCAGAGTTCTTCACCAATAGTTCCACCAATATGAAAACTGCTTTTCCAATGAATATCAACAAAGAAACTACGAGACCACTTCCGTACTCATTTTGTTTTTTTGAAGGAGAATAAATCAATATCATTCTTTGAAGCTTTTATAGAGTTCGTTTTGTATAGGAAAGAAAAATCATGGTAGTTTTCAAGAATTGACGTTGACTAGTTTCCCATTTAAAAATAAAGTATGACAAGTAGTTTGCAACGTCTCAAACTGAGATATGTGGTCCGGTAGTTTCATAATCGATATGTTTCCAGCAATCAAGGTACTCACGGTGAAAAGCTTTCTTGGATTTCACTATTCCCTAAAGAGCCTTGTTAAAAATGGGTCGAAATTCGCCCCTTTTTAGGCCCTCGATTTTGCAAACGGGAATTGTGCCAAATTATTGCATATGATGCCCTAAGTCTCTGGTAAAAATTTCAGCTTGAGTTGAAAAGTGGTTTCGGAGATACGGGGGGGTGAAGTGGGGGAGTTGAGCGGCTGGCGTGCGCTATTTCCGCGGCTGTTCCTCGCCAAATCTTCGTTTTGATGTCACCCGTTACATGTTTTTCTATGTAATTTTTTGCGTACTTTCCATTTCTGGCCTTAAAAATTACTTACAACCACTTTTCGAGGCGCTAGGGGGTGAAAATAGAGGTTGAACGGCCAGCGGCGCGCTCTTTCCTTGGCTGTTCCTCGCCAAATCTTCGTTTTGATGTCACCCATTACATGTTTTCCTATGTAACTTTTCGCGTACTTTCCGTTTCTGACCTTAAAAATGACTTACAACCAGTTTTTAAGGCGCTAGGGGGTGAAAGTGGGGGTTGAGCGGTTGGCGGCGCGCTCTTTCTGCGGTTGTTTCTCGCCAAATCTTCGTTTCGATGTCATCCATTACATGATTTCCTATGTAATTTTTCGCTTACTTTCCATTTCTGGCATTAAAAATTACTTAAAACCACTTTTCAAGGGGCTACGGATTTTTTTCGCAGTTTTTTTTATTTTTTTAGTTCTATTAATTTATTTTGTATTATTTCCTGAGATCTATTCGTGCCGTATATTTTCACGTTTTCTCAGTGTACCTCACACGTCGTACGAGAATATACGCATGATTTCATCCGTACATAAATGTTTACACGCCAAAATGACATGGCAAATATGGGGAAAAATCTGAGATATGCCCCGGGCAGTACACTAATCTGATTAATAAAAAATCTGTCCTTTACTTCGTTACTTATTTATTTAAAAGCAGCCATTACCAGCCTACACGCCATATTTAAGGATATTATGACCACAGATACATTTACACGTTCACGCTGAAAGACCAATTGTCACCCTTATTAAGTCAAGGGAAGTATGAAAAATTAAGAGCTATAGCAAGTTATCGATTTAAAAATGTGCCTCCCCCCCCTCTCATGAAAGCTTTAAAGCTTTACTTCATGATTCTGCCATTATTCTACCATCTCCCTTCTACGAACGCTCGTCTATGCATATCATTTAGGCGTGTAATCATTTATGTACGGATGAAATCATGCGTATATTCTCGTACGACGTGTGAGGTACACTGAGAAAACGTGAAAATATACGGCACGAATAGATCTCAGGAAATAATACAAAATAAATTAAAAGAACTAAAAAAATAAAAAAAACTGCGAAAAAAATCCGTAGCCCCTTGAAAAGTGGTTTTAAGTAATTTTTAATGCCAGAAATGGAAAGTAAGCGAAAAATTACATAGGAAATCATGTAATGGATGACATCGAAACGAAGATTTGGCGAGAAACAACCGCGGAAAGAGCGCGCCGCCAACCGCTCAACCCCCACTTTCACCCCCTAGCGCCCTAAAAACTGGTTGTAAGTCATTTTTAAGGTCAGAAACGGAAAGTACGCGAAATGTTACATAGGAAAACAGGTGATGGGTGACATCAAAACGAAGATTTGGCGACGAACAGCCAAGGAAAGAGCGCGCCGCTGGCCGTTCAACCTCTATTTTCACCCCCTAGCGCCTCGAAAAGTGGTTGTAAGTAATTGTTAAGGCCAGAAATGGAAAGTACGCAAAAAATTACATAGAAAAACATGTAACGGGTGACATCTAAACGAAGATTTGGCGAGGAACAGCCGCGGAAATAGCGCACGCCAGCCGCTCAACTCCCCCACTTCACCCCCCCGTATCTCCGAAACCACTTTTCAACTCAAGCTGAAATTTTTACCAGAGACTTAGGGCATCATATGCAACAACTTGGCACAATTCCCGTTTGCAAAATCGAGGGCCTAAAAAGGGGCGAATTTCGACCCATTTTTAACAAGGCTTTTACCCAGACTTTTCGATGTTTTTTAAGGACACAATCTCTCATAAAAATTCTTTCCACCAAAAATTTGTGGCGCAAAGTCTCTTGAAATGACCAAGATGCAATGTTTTGGTTGGAGAAAAATATTTCAAGATCTATCCGCAAAATTCCCTGACTTTTCTGAGTTTTCCCTGCTTTTTCAAGAACTTTCCACCCTAGTGCTTTTTCCTGCGAATAGTCAACTTTACTCACTTGAGTCTTGTCATAATTTTTAATTGTTTAGGAGCATGTTGAATCGAAGTGCAAGAGAGTTTTTAAGTTTTCTTACCGGTTATGAGATCCCAGACGAGAATTCGTCCATCTTCGTGCCCGCTTAAGACGCACCCATCTTTTGATGATATGTCTAGAGAAACGCAATTTACGCCTGGTTTCCACTTTTTGAAAAGCGTGCCTGATTGTAAATCATAAACTACGATGAAGTTTGGTCCTGGCTCATCAACTTCCTGCAAGAAAGGAAAATGGAAGATTGTCAGTAGTTAAAGATAAGACAGAAATGAAAATTAGAAAATCAGCCAGGATGTAGTGGATTAGTGAATGCTGATAAACTTCAGCCAAACTGTCATCTCTAAGGTGATGATTATTTTGTCGTTTATTTTTACCCCTAATAATATACTTGTAAGTGTTTAGTCCCCCTTTTTTTCCTTGCTCAATATGTATGTTTGCTCTGCATTCTTTCTCCACACAACATAAAGATTGTGAAACTGCTGAAATGCGTATCTTATTTGTACTGTTTCAAAATCTCCGCTCCTATTTTATTTTTTAAAAGGAAACCGAACTAATATCATGGCTCGAAACTTTCACAGAATATTTTTCACATCGAGAGAAAAAATTACTGAAGTTTCTCAGAAATGATGTTGAGTATTAATCCATGTAGAAAATAGAATAGGACAGGCAGTCTGCAAAGTGGCAAACCGACTGATGCTTTTCCACAGGTTCACTATCACTAACTATCATCTTTTCAATGGCCGAAGAAAATACAAATAATAATAAACAAAATAAAAATTATAATGTAGATATGAAAAAGTAGATGAAAGAATAGTAAACAGAAGAGATTTGATTCCATTGCCCGGATGCAGTTAGAGAACATGGCGCTAGTGCACCGAATGCCCCTCTCTGAGGTCTTACACATTAAAATATTGATGGAAAAATTTGAAAAAGAGTACAGAAGAGATATGAGCAATAAAATTAAAGAAAGACCATTGGTCTTTTGAGAGGAAGATGGAAACCATAGTCACAGAAGGGACTTAATAAATAAGGCAAGAATGAAGGGAAGAGGAGTTAGGAACATGAAAAATGTAAACATGGATATTGGTGGGAGATTAAGGTAGGATACCTGACGCATATCACTGTGGTTGGGTTCGAAAATCACACCCTTCTTCATTCACTCTGTCGAATGTTTCACTCAAAGGCCAAGAAACACATCAAGGTGACTCAAACTTGAACGCTACTCAACAGGGCAAAAATCACTGATAAAACTTGACTTGATTTAAGCTTCAAAAGGATCTTGGCGTTTGCTACACTCAAAAAACTGGGTAAAACACTTGAAATTATAACTGAAAAATAATCATAACTGCGGGAGTGGACGGAGCGAACATTTCCTGGTTGGGTCAAGAGATATCAGAGCATTGCTGCACAGGGGAAACCGCAAAATGCAATGCACATAATCGAAGAGAGAGGCGAATTTTATACAGCCGGTGATAAAATCTGACGCCACTCACCCGAACATGACTCATGGCGAAATAACAACAGAATGACGGAAAAATACATCAATGGCAAGACAAATATTCATAACCAGTCTATTGTTTGGTAGTCGTCCCTTTCATTTGTATCTGGATTTTCAGATTCATCCTATTTTTGCTACAATTGCGGAATTATCAAATTTGATTGCGCCACCAAAAAGTACATCTCAGAAAATTCTTGCAAATTCTTTTGGTAACTTTTCGGGAATTATTCTTGCTTTAGTTTGAAAGATTGTTTCATTTAAACTCTTCCATCAAAATTTTAAAGGTATGTTCCGATATAAAAAGGCTTTATTTGATTATTGGAGATGGTGTTCGCACCTTTTACCTGCATGAAACAGATTCAGTGCTAAATTTGCACTCCGTAGACTCACGATTACTTCGAGTCGTTTTGAGGTACTTTACAACCTCTTATAAAAATCAAAACATGTCAACGAAATGGCTGCAGGATTGCAAATTTTCTTAATGATACCCATGTTAGCCGTCAAGGTCGTAGCATTCTTTTAACAAGTCCGGGTTAATATACAGTACAAGAAATTAAGAGATTTTGGATCCAGTCGATAAAGACAAATGACCTAAACGAAAAAATAATGCTCTCAAGTTCAGACTGAAAATCGAAGGCAACACGTAAACAAATGCAAAACTGCTATTCAATAGAGAAGACTTTACTCACCTTGGCAACACAGCATACATAATGTCCTTCATAAGTTATGGCCGCAAGACTCGTAATGAAATCATGATGTGGAATCCTCAGGTCATACAATAATTTGCGCGATGCTAGATTCCATACCAACAGAGGGAACGGCTTCTGAGTTTCATCACCGCAAACAAGAACTCTGTAAATGCAAAAATAGAAAAAATTAACGCTTAACGTACCTGCAGCAATTAAAAAAAAACTTAAAAATTGCGTTTTCATTGATGCAATTCTGTAGATAATCAAGGATTTTGTCCACGGATAACTTTCTTAGAAATTGCAGAATGGGAGAAACACGAGGACCCATTTTTCCCCAGACTTTTCAAGGTCAGATTATTTACGGATAAAAAAAGAGGAGCTGACGGTTCAAAATAAAAATGTGAGAATGGCTAAAATGGCAACTTCATAATTTGACAAGGGAAAAATAACTCAATAGAAACACATACGCCCGAAGGAAGTTTATCTACTTACTAAAGGTAAGGTCAGAAAATTTGCTAAACGCCTAAAAAAGCTTTGTGTATGTGTATACCTTTATAGATAAAATTCAGTACTTTACCTTCAAGATTTTGGCTATATACTTAAATTTTAGACTACTTGTATCAACATAATTGGACGGAGTTAAACAGAAAGGAACCAAGCCACATCGGGATCGAACCGAGAAAAAGATATTTAAAGTTCAGCTCCTGCATAAGACTCAGTGTAAAAGATAAACTTCAAGTTCAATTTCTGCAAAATTTGCTCCAACAAAAACTTCGAATTTTTGGCAATCCATAGTAGAGCGGTGGTTGAGTTCAAAACCACCCATAACTCAATTTTTTCGAAATTGTGGGTTGGTTCCTTTCTGCTTAACTCAGTCCAATTACTGATAGATTTATTTTATTTAAATGTGCCTGTATATATAACACGGCCGCGATGTTTTAAAAAAGCAATTTCTGAATGAAGGTCATACCAGAAAGTTATGATTAAGGTGATTCGATGGACGCCAAATTTTGTGTCAGACGGCATGCAATATATCGCATCAATTGGTTCCATTATTTCAGCTACTCGTCATTTGTCTCCAATTTTGAGATCGCAATTCTGTTGTCAGGAGACTAAAGCACTCACTTACCAATTTTAACAAAGAAATTCAACGTAATAAAGGCGTGGTTTTTTCAGAGAGAGAACATCGCATTCGATACTGATATCGAAACTTCACTCGAATGCGATATTGTCTCTCTAAAAAAACCACAGCTTTATTACATTGAATTTCATTGTTAAAATTGGTAAGTGAGTGCTTTAGTCTCCTGACAACAGAATTGCGATCTCAAAATTGGAGGAAAATGACGAGTAGCTGAAAAATGGAACCATTGATGCGATATATTGCATGCCGTTCTAACACAAAATATGGCATCCATCGAATCACCTTAATGTGTGTTGTTGTAAATGCTGCTAAGTTACACTGCTTTCGGCCATTATATGATAAACTGTCGACAAATACAGTCAATTGGACGTATTTATGCTAAAAAGAACTGAGTGAAAATTAAGTAAATCAAGGGAAACTATGTGCACAGAATTTGCGTGCATTATTGTTCCTTTTAATTATTACTTCTTTTTATCATGTCCGATGTTTTTGGTAAAATTCTGAAATTTACTCCGATCAATAAATTCCAAAATCAAATTATTTGAAAATCTGCTTTCGGCAGTCAACTTGTTAACAGAGAGACGCAAGCTGTGAAGTAAAACTCAACCCACCTGCCATCACCGCAAACGAGCAAGGAATTGAGGAACCGGTCCTCTCCTGCTTTGAATGAAGTGACGAGATCCCCGCTGTCGATATTCATGAGATTCACGTACATACGGTTTCTTGACAATGACACCAAATGATTGGCATCATGGAGACCATAATATGGCATTTTTTGATTCATCACACCTGCAAAACGCCATTAAATTGAAATTAATTAACTTTTCATTCATCTATCACTCAGCATTTTTCAGTCTGATCTAGGTCAAAATATTTTTCTGAAATATTTATTAAGTATTTTAAAAACATGCTGATGACATCTCACTGACAGCACTATTTTTAGTAAGGATAATCGGTGGTGTAAGTCCGCAACCACGTATCCCTTTTGCGATGTTTGAAAATCTCCGCCCCTATTTTATTTTTTTAAAGAAGAATAAATCAACATCATTGTTTAAAATTTTCAAAGAATTTTCCTTGCACAGAGAAGAGAAATCATAGCAGTTTTCAAGAATTGCCATTTAGTAGTTTTCCATGTAAAAAATAAAGTAAGACAGGAAGTCTGCCAAGATACATGGTTGCGGACTTACACCGTTATAATACTTAATGGGATATTGACACACACAAATACTGGGTTCAGACTTTCAAAACATCAAACATAAAATATTTCAAATTTTATTTAATTTAAACTATGGGCGTGTATAAGCGCCACTATCAAGCTAGCCTGAGTCTATGGATCTTGGATTTGAAAGTCTATGAGTCCAAACTTGTGAGATTGTAAGAAGAACTTTTGATATTATGCGGAAGTTAATGATGAGAATTTTTGAGAAATAAACAAATTAACTAAGATGAGTGAAGCTAAAAGTTGAAAGACAACCTTTCAGTTTTGTCAAGAGGGTGCCGGTATTGAGATCATAGGTCCTCAGCTCTCTCTTGCATAGAACAACACATCGGTAATTATCAATCATTTGCAGCGTTATGGGCTGCGGAATCCCTCGCAAAGTCCTCACTTTTTCACACCTGCAAGAAATTGAAAAAACAGATTAACGAGTGACATCCAATGATAACGTTCATAAATATGTTAAAAATTACTGAAACCAAAATTAAAGCCAACAAAATTGCATAAGAGAAGTCAGAATGACCGCCAACTTCAGTAATTCAAATTAAGATAAAACTCTAATGTGTAGTTCATTCAGAGGAAAGATTTAGATGGTTCAACTTGGCTGCACTTATTTTTTTACCTCAAGAATTTTTACAAGACGTGATATTGCTAATGAGGTTTTTTGTGTTAATAGTAAAAAAATTATAGATTAAATTTCGGCATTTACGGACTTTAACATATCTCACTACAAAAACCAGGAGAAGGTTCACATAAATCTTATACTTACGTTTTAATATTCCATACTGCAATTTCCTCATTTGCTGTTGATATTGTGACAACATAAGTATCACCCTCTGGCAGTCGTTGAACATCATTGAAGTAGACAGAGTCTGTTTTTTCCTTTTCGGCTGAAATTAAAACAAAAAATGAAAACTTATTAGAAGAGAATTTATTAATCCTTGCGATAAAACTTATTCTTACTCCCTTCTTGCGAATGATGCACTCTCGCAAGACATGGAGTGATAAGGTGTTTTTCAAATTTTCGAAGAGGAAAATACTACAGATACTGTCAGATGTATGTACGAAGCATCTTTTTGCTGATCACAGATTCGATTTTTCCTAAGTCGGTGTATGGACGCTTCAAAATGAAAACTGGAAGAATTCATATTTGTCATGATTTGTGCAGTCTCAAGAATAAGTGGACCGCATTAGGAACTACAACTTCTGGCTCATCAGTAAAAATGCTTAGGAGTATGGAGAAACTAATTGCACATACATTGTTTCTAAACTGAACCAGGAATTTTAATAAACAATTGTAAAACGTGGTCCAAACAGTCAAGCGCTTTTAAAAGAACTTGCAAGCAGTTTTCGAGATTTTTTCCTGAACGCGCAGTTTTCTCCTCATATCATAAATCCAAGTCAAGAACTTTTACATAGTTTACTTAGATCGTAGATTATAATTTCTTTGATAAATAGCACAGAGAAAACACAGAAGGTAGTGGTAAGCAGAGAAACGTACTTTTCTACGTCACATCTATAAATGAAGCCGCCTTTCTAATTGGTTGATGGTTTCGCGGGAAAACCTGCAAATTAGAAAAGGAGCAGGAAAGGTTGTGAGGCTACCACTTATTTTGGCTCTAAAAACTCCTAGCTATTGACTTTTATGTTTCAATATGTTTTTCTATCAATGTTCGACTGTAACTGAAAATAATTTGTAAGTTGAAAATATATATTTCATATAATAGCAACTTCTATCTAGACTCGTCCCATTTTGAACGTATAACCATCTTAAATTACGTTCTGTGCGTCAAAAAAGCAGAAATTGGAGAGTCATGGTACCTAATGTTCAATTATAAGACTTTAAATGTTAGATTCAGTGGTGATGTAGGCATTTATAAAGGTTCCATCATAAAATGAATTTTTTTTAACAGCGCGCCAGTCCGTGTACTTTTCTACGTCACCGGCAATCTTCAAGAAGGCTGCTTTGCCACCACCTTCTGTATTTTCTCCATGGATAAATAGGATGTCTCCCCAGATGATCAATTTGACGTCAAGTTCTAAAATATTTTTCAAAATAGTGAGCTTTCAATGCTGACCATTAATAAAAAAAAAAAATTCAAAATCTTGTCAAACATCTTTCAGAAAATCAAGCAATTTCAAGTCCTTCAAAAAATTCCTAAATCAAGTACTTTTAAAGACCAAAAAACCATGATTCTTCTTCAAATGATACTCTAAACCTAAAAAGTTCACAACAGAAATTAATTTAATTGAATTTTGGATTAGTTAAGTTTGTATGATCAGTAGAGCTACACTCACAGATATTCTCCTCGCTTAAGGCGTTTGGAACAAGTGAAAGCACAGGTGGATTTTCAGTGGCAGTTTTGAGTTTCTGTTGAAAAGGACATGTGGAATCAGAGTGCTGTGATATATAAACATTGGCTTGTGCGTAAAATTGTCGACCATCGTAATTCAGTGCAGTTGAGCAAGTTTCTAAAAAATTTTGGAGCCATGAGACATTCGCATCTGATTTAATGATGCTCTCCTCTAGGTAAATATCATCCAGGACCTGGAAAAAATCACAAATTCAAACAGTTAACAGTTTTCAGCCAAATCAAACTAATTGTTTTGAAATTTGTAATTGAGTTGATCATTTCATTTACTGTAAACAAGGGTGTCATTTCAACAAAATCTTGAAGAGGATAAAAATTGTTTGGAGAGGGCAAATTTTTTTAAGGGGGAGGACTTAAAAAAAATCTCCAAAAATGCTGCAAAATTGAACAATAAAAGATCAACTTTAAAGTATAGGGCGAGGAGGGGGGCCATTCTTGGTCTTCCATGCGGAGAAACTTATCTCGACTGTGCTGTTTCAGTATTTCTACAAATATGCCGTTTCTTCATGGGAGAATCATCGCACAAATGCATTGGAAAATGTTGAAAACTTTCTCACAAATGTAAGGACAATTACTAGAAATTCCAGACAAATGTATAAGATGGTTCTTCTGTAAAAAAATATGATGTTAATGAAAAATACTGAAACAGCAAATGTTCCTTTCTCTGGGAGACGACAAATTGTACGTCTACCCTCACTTCATAATGTAATGAGTAGCGTAGTTTTTTCACAGATTACTTACATTGAGAACAGAGGAGCCACAAATTTTACTGTAGACCCATGATAAATTTTCCAAATACTGAATTTTTATTGAATTGTTGAGTTTGAGTTCTAAAGTTGGCAGTTCATCTAGCTTTCTTTGATTGTAGCTACAAAATGAAAGACAAAAATAATTAGAGAGATTAAGAACGATGCATTTCCAGTGGACGAAAATAATCTAGTGTCAGCAATAGATAATTTTTTGTAGTTTGCTAATCCAACATGGTGATACATAAAAAAAAAAACAGCTCGCTGTATCGTAACTGCTGTCCCCTAAAATAAGTTTCCCTACAAAAGTGCTCTTTAGAAATCTTGCAACTTTTGACCTGCAACCTGCAGAGCTTTAACCATGACCATAAGAAAGGAAGACCTTATCCTGGAGAAAACTGAGCAAGTGCCGAAAATAGTGAAATAGGTGAGTTTAGCTTTACGGATTAAGGTGAATCCAGGGTTCGATTAGGGATAATTTAAGATTAGAGATAGCGCCACCTGTCACCTCAGACAATTTCACTTTCCTCCGACGATTACTGAAATAATATTGTTCAGATTACAAAAAGCAGATCCACAAGATGTAGATTATTTTTTGCTTGATTTTTTGAGCCAAAAATACTGGCGATTAGAATTACCAGCGCATGGAAAGTACCGCTAAAACTTTCAGCTCCGAGCGCCCAACGGGTTCCCTCATGTTCTGTCTCTCTCTCTCCCATTGCCGCAATGGGGATTACTTTCCGCCGTAGTTAAGTCTTTATTTTTGGGAATTTTGAGAAGATATTTTTACTGTATCTGTGTTCCTCAAGTATGTTGCTATATCCCCTGGATCTCCAATCTTGAATAAACATTACGGTTTTTATTACTTTCGCAAATATATGCGGCTATTCTGAGCAGCGCAACGTGGTGGCCAAATCGCAAAGTTCCAAGCCTGGATTCACCTTAAACATTTTAGTCGAGTATCAAGAAAAAGAATTTCCAGAAATGATCAGTCTTCCTATTTAAAATAAGAAGCATTTTTGCATACACTCTGTACAAGAATGATTTTCTGTCAAAGTTTCTAGGAGAGTAAGTTTTAGTCAGGAATTCTCAGGGACAGTTCCACAAAAGTTCCCATTCCTGAAACAGTTTCCACTTCCTTAGTAGTACAGATTCCAATAAGGTGCTATTCAATCAGTAAATTATTGTGATTAATAACATAAAACTAATACTTACCAGTGAGAATATTGTAGAGGCTGTGATAAAAACCTAGCGCTCAGCTTGGCATCATTTGTTTTATTCCAAAACTCTTCTTTAAAGTATTTCCTTAACGTCTCTAGTGCCCAGACTTTTTTGTACTTGTAACGTTCCGAAATTAACTGCTTGATAGTCTCGTCTTGCCACCTTACGGCCGAATCCCTTTCAGTTAAAAACCAGTTCAAGAACGGGTTGATGCGTTTGTTCAGCGCTGCCCAAAACAAACACGCCGGTGCCCAGACAAGATAGGTCGCAGGCGAATGAAATACTTTCTCGCGTGATATCAAGTCAAGTATTTCAGAGTCCGTCAGCCCGAAGTTTGAATTCGATAACAGAGCGAAAGTGATTTCAATTTTCTCCTTCCCGAACATTGTTTCTAGCTGGTCAAGAAAAAAATTCAGCTGTTTCGCTGGATCACCTACACTCGTTATATCGTTCCACCATGATACCTGCCATGCTAAAACTTTGACGTACAGAGGCAGAGTGTATTCTTTGATTGTCGGTTTGAGCGACTCTTTCAACTTTTTGTCCATGTTGTGACTATATTCCATAACCGAGGAGAGGAGAATTGACTCGGCTTCATTTTGGCACAGCTCAGGAACTTTCAAGAAAGTGATTTGGTCGTCCAATTTCACAAGCTGATCGTACAATGAAGACTGGTCGCAAACAGAGAAAATCAGTTTGACGTTCGATGGCAGTGTTTCAGGTAACCAGTCGCAATTGGAGAATTTAACTTGGTCGAGACCATCTATGATTATGACTAGATTTCTATCTGGAACATTTGAGGCAAGTAAGGTTGGCAGTATTTGTTTGTAAGTCTCTAGGTTGTGTTTCGCAACAATTTGTTGGCCTTTGTTCAGGGCGCTGATGTGTTGGATCACACTACTGAGCAGCTGCGGTAGGCTACTACTTTGCGGGGATATGTTAGCGTATCGTACTACTATGGCACAGTCCACAAGCCATGTTTGGCAACTTTTGACGGTGCGAGCCAAGACTGTAGTCTTGCCGCAACCTCTTTGTCCATGAACTACTAGCGATTTGGAATCATTCTTGGACGTAAGGTAACTGCAAAATGAGAAAAAGCAAGATTAGCCCAAAGATGGATTTATAGTTTTCAAAGGACTAAAAAATTCTAAAAAGAATTGCCACTTATAGATGAGTATCATCATATCTAGGGTGAAAATTGCAAAAGATATGAGGACTTATATGTAACAATGGCGGATGTGAAAAATTACCTTTTTGAAACACGTTCAAAAAACTTTTTTGGCACCGAGAAAATTTTGAGAAAATACTTGTGATGTGATCATCGAGATCTGTACATTACGCCAGAGGCAAACATATTAAATTTTTGTGTGACCAAAACAATTTTTTAAGCGTGTTTCGAAAAGGTAATTTTTTACATCCGCCATTGTTACAGATAAGGCCTCATACATCTTACTTTACAGCATTGCAAATTTAAGTTAGGTACATCCTTTCTTTCTTGCAATTTTTACTGACTTTCCTTATTCTGTAGAGAATATTCTGCGAAAAATTTTAAAGGATAATGTTCAATGGTTTTTTCTCTAAAAAAATAACACAGCAGAGGGGGATTTTGAAATGCATAAAGTAACCGAGAGATATGTTTTGCGATTTTACCATCTATTTATTTCCATTAAAGAGTCTACTTTCAAATGAATATCTCTTAAAAGTATGATCTCATTAAGTGAATTTCTCACTATTAAACTGGTGTACGCTTAAAGGAAGTTGGAGGAAAAATTATTTTGATCATTCCCTAAATTTTAGACAAAATTGGGAGTATAAAATGAGCACCTAAACAAAAAGATTGTGATTAAAAATAGTTTGAGACGTAGATATTTTCAAAAAATATTTGAGCAAATAGTTGGAGGAAGAAAGCAAAACGTAATGTCACAAAATGAAACGGAAAGAAACGAAAGACAAAACTGAAGCTGATGGAACAAACCAGGTGACACACAGTAGGCTAGATGAATAAGAAAGAAAGAAGAGTCGGAAAATTATTAAACTTGAACTTACAAAAGAAATCGCAGTAAACGCATATGCATTTCGAGATCCTGCAGTCACTTCTTCATGATTGAAATTCCAACTGCGCAGACTGCAGGGTCAGAATTTAAGCCTTGAAGAAGGTATCGCAGGGCCCCAAAACGCATTAGCTTTAATTTATTCCTATAGTTTGAGCTTTTCAACTTTCCAATTCTTTCTCATTTACAGTCACAGTTCCAGCCAAGTTGCACAAAATATAAATTGTGAAAATTAATGATACCATAACTAAGAAAAAAAACCACCAACTCAAGATTATCTGATGATTACAGGACTAACTGTTCAGCAGCACTGTTTTATATGTATTTGAAGAAGAACCAAGGTGTTGTATTGAATATTTATTAATTACTGAGGTAACTTTCGGCTTACGCCATCTTCGGAGTACATATTCTTCTGAACATAAATATATCACAGTTTGTTTTACACTAGTTGTCACAAGCTTAACAATATATACATCGTGGATATCTCACGAAAAGTCTAAATTACGAGAAAGTCAAATAGTTCAGAGCGTTACTCCTAAGAAAATCGTAAACGTTCGAATCAGCTTATTGTGGCTACGTGCATTTAGACTTTTTGTGAGATGTCCACAATGTATATATTGTTAAGCTTGTGACAACTAGTGTAAAACAAACTGTGATATATTTATGTTCCGAAGAATATGTACTCCGAAGATGGCGTAAGCCAGAAGGTATTTCAGTAATTAATAAATATTCAATACAACACCTTGGTTCTCGTTCAAATACAAATAAAATGGTGTTGTTCAAATCAAGCCTTATTAAACTGTTTTATAGCTTTTTAATTAAACCAACACCTAGAATTTAATAATTTACTCAATAAGACTTGGAAAAAAAAAATAATAATTCCGGAATGGTTCATACCTTTGGATTTTTGATAGGATGTCCTCTCTATCAAAACTACATTTGGCCATTTGTTGACTGTAATACGTCTGGATCATGAGTTCATTGAACAATGATTTGTCGATTCCAAACTGCGATGTAAATACACTCTGGAAGAGAGAATGTTAAAGAAGTTACGACAAAAATTACATTGCGATGGCACTTCATTTGAGATAATTGAAATACATTTTGAAATCATTGTTGCACAGAGGAAAAACATCACTGATCATTAAATGAAAAATGGATGTGAAATGAACTGTGGAACACTAAAAAGGTGATAGGTTTCGAACCGTCACCAGCTCATTTTCGACTATAAAAAGCTTGATTTTTTGTTAATTTTGATGTTCTTTTGCAGTTAAAAGTTAGCTCATTACAGATTGAAATATCCTGCCTTTCCAGTGTTTTGTTTTAATATTTTTGAATTTTTATTCGGTTGAGTTTACTTTTTTGGGCGATATATTTTACACATTTCTATTAAACTGATCAGTACATAGAAACATTGATTTGGCCAACCAATTTACTGTACATATTTGAATCTCCAAAGCGATAAAAATGGATCATTCATACAAAAAGAAAGATAAAAACTAAGGAAGCTAAATTTCAGCAAGTTAGGTCTGCTTCTCTGTAGCAGCCTGTGACACAGACAATTCAGTAAAATATAACAACAAAACCATGGGTGACACAAAATAAAATATCCAAATTTTTATTTGGGACCAACTGAGGATGACTGGATGTCTAATCAAAACGTTTTGGATCTTTTCATTAGTGTTTTAAGCCTTGTGACCTGCGGTTTTATTGTTATATTCTATTCAGCAAGTATGCAGCGCAACTATTACCTTCGCCTGATCTTCTTGTATTATAGATTCGACGATACTATTCAGATATTTATCTAGTTTTTCCTTCACCGAGGAAAGATATTGTGCGTGTTCCGGGTTTCCAGCATTTAAGCCTCCAGACAGCCATTTGACAGTCAATTTAATAATGTGTTTCTCATCTAATTGATTCTAAAAAAAGAGAGAATTCAATAATGATATTAAATGATGTAACGCAGGTGAATATCTACCTTTCTGTAAGAATGAAACTTCAGCCAAGAGGCAGTGGAAAACTTTAAAAGAAATTTAGACACATCCTGGATACACTACACGCCTCAACAAAACATTCATCTTCTGATTCTTTTTGGAAACATAACATAAATTATCCCTTGTAGAGGATCAGAGCCGATAGTGATCTTAGCATGCAGGTTCTCACCGCCTGATTTAGAAATTTGTTTGCAAAAATAATGCGGGGATGTGCTTATGACATGAGATATCGAGAAAACGGCCTAGCTTATGAATCAATGTTTATTTAAAACGCAGAGTAGACTTATTTATTGAATGGATTGAATCCTGGAAAAATAACTAAATTCTTTTTGCAACTTGGAATTTCTCACTCCTGATAATTTGTCAAAAATGGACTACATTTTGCTAAGAACTAAAATCTCTGGTTCATGTTGAAAAAAACATGTGTGATAAGTTTCTCTACACAAATCGGTGCTTTTACTAATGAGCCTGAAATTGTAGTTCTTAATTGCGAAATTTACTCCAAATCTGATCAACAAAACAAAATGACTTTCTGGACTAAAACTACAATAAAATGTTATTAATAGGATTAAAAAATTAATTTTCACGATTAAAAAAGATGAAACGAATTGGTCAACAGTGAACAAGATATAAGATTATTCTGAAGATCAGTGCCGCTAAAATTGTGAGAGTATCTATAAACAATTGTTGCACAAATTTTCTGTGTTGAAGAGATTGATTTTAATGGAATACATGGTAAAATAAATTTGAATCGCAAAATTACGCCAGTTCTCAAAAGGAAGATTACGGCGAATCATTGCTTCACTCTGAAATCAACAGAATATCAATCCTCAAGGTTTCATGGCATAAAAGTGGTTTGTTCAACACCATTATTACAAATCTTAAAACCTACTCCAAGTATGCTTTCACATAAGTTTTTGCACATTATATTTCATATATTGCACATTATATTGTTTTTCACATTATATTTTTGTCATAAATTATTTCTGTCATTTTGAACTTCTTTCCCCAACAAATCGCCTTATTATGGCGATTTTCAAATGGAAAAATAACATTGCAGATTGTGGAAAAAAATAAGTGGTTGACTACATCAAGATTTTTTCTGCATTGAATCCCAACAGCACAAAGGAAAGGGATTATTCTTCACAAGTTTGTCTGCCCCTCGCTGATTGTTTCAGTGATTGTCGTTTCAGGAAGGATTACAAGGCAAGTGAGGATTAACTTGGGGTGTAGCTTACTTTTAAGTCTCTTTGTAGATTATCCAATCTCCTTTTGAGTTCCTTTTCTGATGATGCAAGACCAGCTTGCTCAGGTTTGGACTCATCAGGCAAATGGGTGTAAATGCGGTTGATCCAAATGCACCGTTTCGCTAGTTCCCGACTCATCACAACTGTATTGTGTACCTCCTTAAAGAAAAAAAAAATCATGAGTTTGTTAGATTTCTTGTAATATGATTCGAAAGGTACAAAGCCAGGACGACTCAACATAATATTTATGACCAAAGTGGGAAACCATGTAACTCCGTATGCGACACTGAAGACTTCTCGTCATACTTTAACGTAAGTTCTTGAAAAATGTATTGATTTTTCTCTCTTGTTGCCGAAATATTCTTGATAAATTTCAAGCGATAAAGTTGGGTTGTTCTTCCTTGAAAAAATAAAATTGGAGCACGCATTATTTATTGGCTGCATTATTATTTGACCATTATGGTCCCACTTAACTATTTATTACATAAAAATGGTAGCAAATTTTCTTCATAATTTTTTTGGGAATTTGCTTCATGATTTTATGATTTTTGTTTTTAAATTACCAAGAAAATTCTTGTTGAATGAGACATCACAATATTACAAACAAATAAGCCGATCTGTCTCTAACTCTTTAATGTAGAACAATTATTCCAGAAAGTAGTTGACAATGACTTCAATAGATACACATTTTTTTCAAGGAATGTTCAAGAATATAGATCCTGTGCCAATTTTTGTAGAAAATTTTCTAATACCTATTGTACCCATATCTTGTGTGACATACAAGCGAAATGACAATGCTAGTAATCAGCATTTGTTAGAAAAATAAGTTTTCAATTTGCATACATCTTTGGCCAACAGTTTTAAATTTCAAGTTATTTCTTGTTCAAAGCAAAAATCTTCTTGAGCGACATACTATTTTCTAAATCGTAAGTACCTTTAAAACAGGGGAGAGTTTTGAAAAAAAGGCTCTGCACATGTGTTACACATCGAATAAGATTTACAGACAAATTAAGGGCCAACAAAATTTTTGAAATTTGCTGCTGGATGAACTTTATTTTTTTTTTTAAACACTGATCTTCAACCTTTAAGACCACAAACTCTTACACATTTATACGCTCTTTCAAAAAATTTGCTGGGCCATTTCCAAGTTAGCAAACGTAACTCAAGTGACTATTGATAGAGGATACCAACCTGTTCGATGACAGTCGTTAAATAAGAGTCACGCTGCTCTTGTGAGAAAGCTGCGATCATAACCGAGAGAATCCTCTCAATTTCAGAGCTCCATGCACTTAGTGCTTCTTCTTTTTCGGCTGTTCCTTCAGTCTGCACAGACATAAAAAAGCAATGATAGAACTGACACGAAAATTCACAAACCTTAAAAAAATAGTGGAGGCATCATAAATTGGATAAGATCGATAACTTTTGGAGCCTGAGAAAAATCCCATAGTAAAGCATTTTTCATAAACATTGTTCCGAGTTGAGAAGCTGAGTGAAATAATGCAGGGTCAGATAGAAGGAAACTTGCAATGAAAGAGTTTATTTTTAGTTATCTTTGGGATTTTTTAGATTTTCCCTGCTGATTATCAGGTGTTTCTTATTGTACAGAGAAAAAAATGCTGAGGAATGGCATGTAAGCAGTAGTCTCTGATCTAAAATTTAACCCTTCACCTTGAGGCCCCTCGTTCCTGCCTTTATTTTTGAATTGGATTATATTTTAGATTTTTTGAGAAGTTTAAAATGCTTTCCAACAAAGAAAGGCCGGAAAATAGTTATGGGACATTTCCTCAAAGATTTTTTGTCTATGCATCTGTTTTTTCTAGTAGTTTATGTCCACGTGTTTTTTTGGCAGGGGAATTTTAGTCCACCTACCAATTGAGACCCGAAGTTAATTGGTCCACATGTAAATTCAAACGACAATTGCTCAAGATTTTTTTGGATGAAAATGTAAAATATCTTGCAAGAATGAGGGTTTGTTTGTTTGTTTTGTCCAATGGAGAAAAATATATAATTGAGATTTTCGATAACAATGGGGGAGCGTCAATTCCATGAGAGAAAATTCACTAACACCCTCTACACCTCTTTGGTGCAGCAGGACTTATCTTTCAAGAAAATCTCATCTTGTTATATCTGAACCGTATAAACTTTTTGATTTGCCTCAGCCAAAGGCTCTTAGAAGATTTTTCCTCTGTACGATATCTTCGTTATGGTGCCGGCGTGCCGCAGTGCTTCAAGTTACTATTTTGTCACGGAGGTGTTGCACAATATCATACAAGATTGAAGGCACCCCAATGTATTATGCTTGATGACATCTTTAAAAAGCACGAAGTTCCCTCGCAAATTAAATCAGTGATGACGACAAAAAGAGAGTAGTAGTCGAAAAACTTACTAAGTCCTAGTATCTGTAATTAATGACGTTTAGCCTGATTTTTGAACTTTATAAGAAGAAAAAGTGACTTCATTCAAGCAGAAATATGCTGAAATTTAGCTCTGAGAAGATTTCATAATGATTCAATATAGAAAATAATGCTTTTTTAAAGAAGAAAAGATGCTCATATAAAAAAAAAAGTCACTTGCATCAAGCAGAAACCTCCTTTAATTCAGCCATTTTATTCTTGATTCAAAATAAAATTTTCTTGACAGCATACTCAAGAATGTTTTTGCTTAAACCGAATCACTTTTTTCACTAATTAAATTCAAACATTATGCTAAACGTTATTACATATGGTTGCTAGGATTTAGTGAGTTTTTGGACTACTGCTCTCTTTTTGTGCCGTAGTATCTTGATTTATTTAGCGAAGAGAGCTTCGTACTCTTGAAGGATGCCTGTCATTCATAATATGTTGGAGCGCCTTCAATTTCGTATGATATTGTGCAACACCTCTGTTGTGAAATAGTTGCTTGAGGAGCCTTGGCACGCTACAGCGCGGCGGGCGGTCGGCCAGCACGAAACGCGCATCGGCGCCTACAAACCTAAGTGGATACTTCAAGCATTGCGCAACGCGTGAAGCATCCCTGTTAGATTTGTAGGCGCCAAAGCGCGTTCCGCGCTGACTGCACGCCGCCGCTCAGTTCTGTGTTAGGCTCTAATGATTAAACTTGCGGAGTCAGCGTTTTTCAACTCATGATTTTGAAATGTTTACAATGGATTATTCTCATTTAAATTTTTGTTTTGGCCGGTCATTTTTGTTTGATACATGAATATTTCTTCAAAGATGCAGGTGTACCTGGAAGCCTGGAATGTGACTGGACACTGGCTGGAGCCGGTAGCAAGGTGGTTGGGCATGTTCGTCTTTGACATACCACTTTTTGAGCAGCTCGTTGTTTTCCGCCTTGCTGAGCGCGATCTCAAAGTCCTGCTCTTCGATCGTCTTCGGCAAAAGCGGCGTCCCCAAAGAGTTGCTCAGGAACAGCACAGGGATTATGTAGGCCAGCTCTGACTGCCCTGAAAATTCAACAGTTTTACAGTGAATTAAAGTGACAGTTCTTAAAAAATACATACGTTAAAGTCACTTTCACAGCATTCTCTGGTTTAATGCAACGCTTGACTGCCACAGACCAGTTGTGAACAATAATTTCTCAAAAGAGTCCCTGATAATGTTCTTTTCTTAGGGACTCAAGTTGATACACTGAAAAAAATAAATTGCTAATTCAACAATTCAATTGCTAAAAACAGTGAGTGCAATGCTTCAACGTAGATTTTACAACAAAAAAATGCTACTCTAACCACATTGTAAACTAATTTAACCACGGGGGTGGTTAAAGTAGCATTTTTTTGTTGTAAGATCTACATTGAAACATGGCACTCACTGATTTTAGCAATTGAATTGTTGAATCAGCGATTTAATTTTTTTCCGTGTAGCTCTTACACTCTGTTATGACTTTGGTACATAGCGAGCATTTTAAAGGAAAATGAGAATTTAGGGGAAAAAAAGGACAGACATTTATAAAATTTTCTAGGATACAGAATCATCAAGAAGAGACCAACATTTCAGATGTGTATGAAAGATAATAAAAGACACAATACAAATTTCGATTTTCAACTCCAAAGTCGAGGAAAATGCAAATACAGTTGAAGCGCGTTTAGCAGAAATGAACCAAGCTACATTAGCTATTGCCAAATTTAACAGGACAATTTATTTTTTACAAGAAAACGTTATGCGGATTCCTCTGAAAATTTTGAAGGAATTTGCTTTGTACTATGCAGAAAATTCACTGAAATTTCACGCAAAAGGAAAACGTCTCATGAACATTCGAGAGTTGTCAAATTTCCTCGTAGAAAAAATGTGTTTTTGACAAAATTTATACATATTTCTCCTTGAAATTTTCAAGTATTTAAGATAAAATTGCAAGCAGAATAGTTTGAAAAATTTGAAAAAAAAATATTTATAATTTCCCTAGTAAATTCGTATTTAATCAGAGGAAATTTAACAATGCCTTAGGGTTCATACGCACGGTGTCTACTGAAACAGGCTGCCCGAAAATCGGTACTTTTACAGTACATTCCCAAGACATTCAGTGCCTCCTCAACAGAAAATTTCAGTACTTTTCAGTGCCTCCAAATGAACAAAATTCAGAAATTTCAAAAATTTGAATTTCTTGCTCAAATTGCGACAAAAATAAATAAAAATCCGGAGTTTCTTGCGGAATTTCCGCACTTTTTCAGTACTTCCAGACCGCCCTTAAATGATCAGTACTATTTCCGGACTTGTAGACACCCTGATATGGCGTTCTTCCTTAAGACGGCAGAGTATTCACTGAAAAAAAAAAAAAAAAAA